CATCAGTGTTCTCCCACTCCTTGACCGTATTTGCACATTCATTGTCTTTAGCTACAAATAGGGGACATTCCCCATGGAGGGGGTGTCTTCTCCTCTTTGTTTCATATTCTCTATTTCAATGGGGAGAGGAGATAGAGGGGGTGGCCTTTACTCCCCATTCTTCGGATAAATAGATTAGTCGAACAGGTGTCTCTGTGGGTCGGGAGGGCACTTTGAACAGCATTAAAAAAAAAATGAAGTCAAACCTTATTTTATTTGGTGACTCGCCAAATCATTTTCAAAAATGTAATCCTTTTTATTTCATTCCCACGGGATGTAAAGGGGAGCCACAGATGATTTATGCAGGGCGCATGCCTCTTCTCCCGCACACTCCCGCACTCACACACACACCCACCTTTATACTCGATTTGTCCTCCTGGCCTTTGACAGCGTTTCCCCTGTTTCCACTCTGCCAGAAGTTAATTCAAATTTCGCACAGTGGAGTGTGGGAAGGAGTCAGCTGGTCAAATGCAGAACACACACACACACACACCGGGGGGGGGGGGGGGGGGGAGGATCCAGCTGTGCGTCGTGCTGCCTACAGGACGACCCGCGGCCATCGATCCAAACAGAGACTTTAGCTGCAGCTCTTTGAGTTGTGTTTGGGTGCTCACGAGCAGCACGGCGTAGTTACACTATTAGGTATCGTTACTTATTTTACCATTGTAGGTTCTATTTGCTCATTTGCAACAGGGAGACGGGAATGTTCTAACAGGGACGGGTACAATAAGCTGTGGATTTCGGCCGTCGTCGGAGCTATTTTGTCATAACAGATTTTATTATATTTTTCTGCAGGTGTAACATTCAAAGTGCCAAAGGTCACATTCATAAAGTTTATTTTTTGTCGATACAAATGGAAATGTCAATATAAGTAACAATGAGGTGTCTGTGCTCTTATATAACTAATATAGAGCAAACTTGGGTTATGAATAGGACAAAGCAGAATTAGGTCTCAGCTTGACATCCTCAAATAGCTTTTGTCTTACACATAGTACGAAACCCTAAGACAGATGCTGGTAATGTTGTTACTTCATATTCTTTAAGTCCTCTAATCCATTAATTGATCAACGAGGGTTTCAGATATTCCCCCTCTCATCTAGTTGAATATTTATATTAGTTGTTTTATTATCTACCATCACAGGAAAAGGTAACAAAACAACTTTTGGTTCCCCAGAAATCTATCAAACAATGCCTCATTTTATTCATGCCAATAGTTGTTTCGCAGTAACACAGTTTTATTCTCATCAGTAGCTGAATACTTTCTAAATACTGCCACTTCATTTTCTGTTAGTTTCTTTGGATCACCTCCAGTCGAATACTGTCGCTAGCTCTCGACCACAAAATTATATTACAATACATTCAGAACTGAAATGTTTGTCGTACTGATGGTAAATCAGGTTTTTGGTCCTCAAACTGAAAATCAAAAGTACTGCCGTTGTTTTCTTTGTGTCTACAAACAGCACTGATGTAAACAGACCTTTTACAGCTCCAGCAAAGCTTTGGTCCACTTCTTGGGCTTTTGAATAACACTGAATTTAGGTTTCCTGCATAGAATAACAATGTTAACTCCACTTTTGTTTTTCAAACATTTACCCGGTCAACGTTCTGTATCTTATCCTCAGGCAGTAGTCTGCTATTAACTGAAATAAATGACATTTTAATGGTTTTATTGTCTGGTATAGTTTTGTGGCGTGATTAAATCGGGCCTTAAGGGCATGTTATAGAAGTGTAGTAATGCAGCCTTGTTGTGGCGAGTATTTACGCACCCTAGATAATGGAAAGGTGTTATTAAACTGTATTATGGAAGTGTTGTTTGGACCCATAAACAGAGTTTGTGGCAGGGTGAAACCATTTGTTTACCAACAGAGTTTGACACCAAACTGGCAGTGGGTAACATGCAGAAACCTGTAGGAAACTTGGCGTTTGTAGGTGTTTTAAATGACTAACTGAACGTTCTGTTTTTAACAGGTCTTTCTCTCGCTGTTCAACGGTTCTCTCAGTCTCTGCAGGAGTTTCAGCTAGAATGTATTGGAGACGCGGAGACTGATGATGAAATCAACATAGGTAAGGCGATCTGTAAAACGGGAGGTTGAGACTGCAAAATATATTAAATATGATCCACATTTGAGGTGTAAAATGTATTTTCCAGCTCAGTCCCTAAAGGAGTTCTCTCAGCTCTTGAGCACCATGGAAGAGGAAAGAAAACGACTGGTAAGAACACATTTGTGTGTTTGTGTGTGTGTGACAGAGTGAATGCAGGTTTATTTTTATTTTTTGGTAAGGTAAGACATTTTTCAAAATTGAGGACATTGACACTGTTTCCCTTGTGACCCCGAAAAGAGGCCATTTTAAATTGTGAGTGTTATACAGTAAATAGGTCAACTTAGTCTATGTATGTGCTCCATTGTACTTTATACAATGTAAAGCTTTGTTCTAATTAATTAATTTGATTAGAAATGTAACCTCTTTAGATTTGTTGTAGTTTATTTGAAAAACAGTCCACTAGCAATCATTGTTGGACTTTTGATTGTGATTGATATATATTTGCTCGGGAAAAGAAGACTTCTGACGGGCTTCATAAAGACGTAATAAAGAGAAGTTCTCTTTGTTTAAGGCATCTTGCTTCTTACTTCTTATGTACGTGTGAAAAGTAAAGGCAAATCTTCTGGTTGTATAGAAGCCTATAAGAAGAGGATTGTACTTCTCACATTATGTAAGTTAACATTGTAAATATGAGATTCCAATCACACATTTCAAGTCTTCTTCAATACAGCGAGATGTTCAACTAGTAAATGATGGTCCCGTTTAAAGTGAAGCAGCATGTGTTTTGGGGCGGGGCTACCTCGTGATAAACAGGTCGCATCCACTTTTTCCCGTTTGAGAGTGGGATTTCAGTTTGTGAAAGTTAACCCTAATCAACAAAATCAAACCGTTATCACTAAAGTCGCTGCAAATAGTTTCCAGGATTTCGGATTTGAAAGTTAAATCTTCACTTGGTGCACCCCTCTGACTTCCTCAAGCATTTGATCCAAATCAGGTTTTCAAACACCTCTGATTGACTGATTGACACATTTGCTGTGGACTTTGTGCAAGCGGCATCCATAGTGATTTGGAAAAATATCTTTTGCTCACAATGGGGGGCGAGGGCGGTGAGGAGGGGAGGGGGGGGGGGGGGGGGGGGTGGAGTCTGGCATGCAGGCAGACCTCCTCGCATGGGCAATGTATATGCATAGTACGTTAGCTTATGCACAGCCCCCTGTCTCTGCATGTGTGTGTATGTGTGTGTGGCTTTGTGGCTGTGTGCATGGTCTGGTTACAGAAGAACCATGTGGAACCTATTCTGCCAATTCCCCAGTGAGACTGAGCAGAGGGCTGACTGCCTGGGAAAGTCCATAAAAGGATCGTGTGTGTATTGGTGTGTGTGTGTATGTGCGTGTTTGTCTGCTCTCTTTCTTTCTGCGTGCGCGTGCGTGTGAAATTTAAGTGTATGCTTTAAATGGTATGCTGCAGATTGGTCTTAACACTACTAATACCGTCATTATCGAGTCCAAGTGCGATTCCAGCAAATGGTTTCCTCTGAAGTACCTACCGGTTCATCTGAGAGAACTGTTATTACCTCACTTAGTGTTCGGTTTCATCTGATATATTGTAATGTGGTGAAAAGGGAGACCAGGCAAAGAAAAGAGACCTTTCTTTCGCTAGTGAAGTGAAAGCAAAGTCACGATGCAGCGCTGGGAAGGTATTTCGAGTCTACTGCTTAAATCAAGTTGGACAATGACTTTAGACTCATGACTAAAGGGGGCCGAGACTTTGTATAAACACCAGAGCTAGAGATAACAGTTCTGTGGACTTCCTTACTGCTTGGCTCATGTCTCAACATCAACCACGAGTTTGTCGTGCATGCTGTAAGCACAGCTGCCAAAATGTTAGCTTTTTCTACTGAGATTCGCATGTGCAAGATGGAATTCTATTCATACATCCATGAGTCTGTTTCTTCATTTTTCATTAATTTGACCTTGTTATTTTTCATCATAATGTCATTATTACCTGACACTGTGGTAATATTGTCCTTTTTACATGAATGCTAATAAATCATTTTGAATCTGGTAAACCTGGTAAATATTATACTTTCTTTGCATCAGCATGTCAACATTTTCATTGTGAGAATAGAATAGAATAGAAGTACTTTATTGATCCCCGGGGGGTATTCAAGATCCAGGTACCTCCTGCCAATAATATACACATTTAAACTATTAAAAAGGGTTATCAAAGAAAGAAATAAAGTTAAAACATACACTTAAGAGTTCAGCCTGGGGGTGGGGAGAGGGAGGAGTGGGGGCTTGTGCAAAAAAGGGGGGGGTTGTGCAAAGGGCCAACATAGCCGGTAGTCAAGGGGGGGGGGGGTGCTGTGCAAAGGTCTATCAGTCCTACATGGCAGCGAGCGCAGTCTCCTGCTGATCAGACTCCTCTGTCGACTGATAGTGCTGTGGAGAGGATGGTTTCCATTGAGCAGCTAAATGCACACAAAGCCTCCGCACGGCTTTTCGTGATTTGTATAATAACCTTGAGCAAAGTCCATGTCTAAGTCAATCTCATAATGAATAATAAGCTACCCATAACTGACTGTAACTGAGGTAAACTAATGTTTTTCTTGGTATGTACACTAATATGACTTCTTGGTAAGTAAAGAAACCATATTTTGTTGTTTTGAATTTGACTTCAATGATTCTAAACTTGTATTATGCACCTATGACATAATATAATTGTCTTGATTTCAAATATTTCTAAATCCCTTAAATACAGGACAGCAGGATTGTTGTAGGATTGTATTTCACTTTTTTGAAGTGAAGCAGAAATGTCAAGACATTTGTCTTGGCTCAGAAACCCGACACTCAAGCCCTCGCTGTTATTTTTGTTAATTGCTGCTGTGACAACTTGAACAGACTGTTGTGTGTTTGTCCTCCCTCAGATCCAGAATGCCGATGACGTGTTTGATCTCACCGCTCGAGAGGTTTCGCAAGGAGCAGATTGGAGCCGTTAAGGTACTTCTGCTGCTCTAAGACCCGCAAGCTGAACGACAGCGTATTACATTAATTGAACAAAGTAACTGAATCAGTTTACTTTTTGTTTTAGTCACAGGTGATATTAAAATCCTCACGCAGTATCAACTTAGGTTTCAAAAAAACAGGCCAACAGGTGAAAGCTAAGTTTCAAAGCTGGCTGTGTATGTTCGTCATCCAACACTGAAGGTGATGATTGGACACATCGTCCTGCTCTGGTCCCAGTCAATCTCCCACCCGGTGGGTCAGAGAATCCAATTTGTTCGGACAAACACAGTCCGGTGTCAGTAACAAGGTCGTGGGAACGGCCGCCGGAGGGGAGTGTGGGGGGGTATTTGAACTCAGTGAGACAGTATAAACACAAAGTGATCCTGGTGTTCGGTTTCAGCAGCTCTCTCAAGACTTAGAATTCAGTTTCACTTTTCTTTGGTCTTGTTCTTCTCTCAGAACCCCACCAAAAAAATAAAGCCAGGGCATGCAGCAGACAGTGTTTCAAAAAACAGAACAGCGCTGACTAACCTTGAAAGTGAAATCACAAATAGTTTCTCGGGGTCGATCGTAAGACTGTCGAATGTAGCAGGAGCGTGTGAGCAGCTCAACCTCAAGCTGATGTCGTTGAGCCAGAAGGATTCATTGGCCACAGGGAGTTTGAAGCTGCTTAGTCACCCACGTCTGACCACGAGTTTGACATTTGTCCCGTTTGTTTTTATATCTATACACATATGGATGGAATAGATATCCATGGCATTTGCTCCAGATTACCAAGGTGCCTCCCAATACTTATTAGCATGCTAGCAGGCTCAATTTAGAGGGTGAACATCGCAAACATTATACCTTCTTAACATATTTATGTTAATTTTTTTATTTATTTACTCATTAGGTAGTTGGATTGGTTGGACTGTGCAGAAAACTAGCACAGGATATCTCTATTTGATCAGTTATTTACTGATTTGAATAATATGTTTGCAAGTTGTTTAGAATTCTTATTTCTTTTCTAATTTCTTATTTGACTTTGATTTAATTATTAAGTCATTGTACTCCAACGCCTGTGCTCCAAAACAAATAAATACTAAAGCATTTGAGGAATTGCTCCACACAAACATAGATAAGAATCAAGTATCATAAAACATGATTTTTAGTTTTTACTGAATTATTGTGTCTGTCCTTTTATCTCTTGGATGAGGCGTAAATGACTGGGGATGGTGACATTTAATCAAGTGTGAAACTTATCTTATGTGAGAATGTTTGCTTTTGTTTACGCTAATGTCCTCTCTCCATCCATGTCTCCAGGAAGGAAAGAAGCAGTTTGACAAGGAGACAGAAAGGTACTACTCTGTTCTTGAGAAACACCTCAGCTTGTCCTCCAAAAAGAAGGAATCACATCTTAACGAGGTAAATTGCATGCCTCCCAAAAACGTGCAGTTTCTCCAACAACTGTTCGGTAACAAAAGGTACCAAATGGGTGCTGTATTTGTTTTTATTGCAGGCGGATTCACAGATGAGTAAGGACAGGCAGGTTTTTTATGATGCATCGCTGCAGTACGTCTTCAAGATCCAAGAAGTGCAGGAGAGAAAGAAGTTTGAATTTGTGGAGCCGGTGAGATCACTTTCTTACCTTATGCAATGTTAGAACCAATTAACCGTGCTGCGGTTCTGACCAGTAGAGGGTAAACACAATGTTTCATCACAGGGATACATGGCTGATACGGCTATTTTGTGCTGCTTGTAAACAATGAGGTAATTATGAAGTCACATTTGGAGCCCAGAAAGCCAATATCGTTGATTCCATGAGTCCATGCAGAAGTGATTATGGAAAGCAGCGCAGGCCAGATTCTGAAAAATAAACATTGCACACACTGTTTGGCCAGTGATAAAAACATTTTAATGATAGATATCAGTAAAGACAACTTCCTGTTGCTGTAAAAGCACTTCCTGCATGGAGATATCAGCAGCCCGACAGAGAGGGAAACTCTTTGTTGTGTATTTTTTTTTCTGCTGTAGCAATCTTGACTGATTGAGCAGATGACAGACAATCCTACTACTGTAATCCCCTCATTGTGCTCTGCACTCCCGGGCCTCCAGCTAACATTTTTCCTGCCAATTTCTCCCTCTGATCTTCAGCTATTAGCCTTCCTGCAGGGATTGTTTACATTCTACCATGAGGGTTACGAGCTGGCCAGTGAGTTTGAACCCTACAAGCAGCAGCTTCAGTTCAACCTGCAGAATGTAAGTGTGTGTGTTTGTGTGTTTACTGCCACCCCCTAAACCTAAACCAGAGATATTATCACTTGTTTGATCGGGTCTGAACTTCCATTTCGAGAAAGGTGTAGAAGTCTGTGCCTGATGCTTCAGGCAGCACCTGTCCTAAATGGGAAAACTAACTGAGCTTATCATGGAGTCCAGAATCCATTATGTTCATACTCTTTCAAAGATTTAGTTTCATTTAAATATGTAAAAAAAACACCTTTCAGAGACGTTTGTGATGTATGTTGTTAAGGCTCGCAACAACTTTGAGAGTACGCGTGTTGAAGTTGAGAGGCTGATGAAGAGGATACGGTCGGCCGAGGAAGACTTCAAAGCTCCCAGTTGCTTTACCATGGAGGGATATCTGTATATACAGGAGAAACGTGAGTTACACTAACTTCCCATTTTCTTGTTTCTCAGTGTCTTTCTCTCTTTAGTGCGTTAAAACACACCCAATTGTACCGGAATGAATGTGTGTTGTGTGTTTTAGGTCCATTAGGAAGTGTGTGGACCAGATACTACTGTACTTATGAAAAAAGCACCAAGATGTTCACCATGAGCAACACGGAGACGCGACCAGCCAGCAGACAGGTAAGCTGGTGTCGTATTAAGTAGCTATTTATTCAGCTGACAAATGCAATTGGACCACAAACCTCAAACTAGTGTCACAATCTCTAAAATGTTTATTTTTTATTTTTGAGGCAAACCAAAAAGCAGGAAGTATATTGCTGAAATGTTAAAACATGAAAAAAAGACCACAAAGTGGTAATCAACACTGTCTTGATGTTACAATATATAAAGTTCCCTGTTTGTGTGGCTCCCGTAGAGATTACATGTGAATTGCATATTGCAGACACTGCTCTCTGTTCACAGAACGGCGTGCCGAACGGCACACCGGAGATGTTCAAGCTGCGCTCTTGTGTCAGAAGGAAGACCGATTCAATTGACAAACGCTTCTGCTTTGACATCGAGGTGGTGGAGAGGTGAGAAGAGAGGGGGAGAATAACGCAGAGACTGATGACTACGTTGAGATGTGGCTAGTGTTGGATTGTGGGCCAATAAAATTGACTCTTTCCCTACAGACACAGCGTCATTACCCTGCAAGCACTCTCTGAGGCAAACAGACGGCTCTGGATGGAGGCAATGGATGGAAAAGAACCTGTAACGAATATTTTTACCCTTATATGATAGAAAATATGATTTTACCAATAATGTTGGAAATGTCACACTGTCACGCTAATACATGCATCACTTCTGCCACTTCTGTTCAGATTTACACTCTGCCTTCTTTACTCAGTAAAAAGGAGGAGAGTAAGTATTCAGATTTATGCTATTCCTGATTTAATTCAAAGGATTATATTTATTAATATATACAATCTCTTGCAATGTATTAGATATTCATGTAAATATGTTTCTTTTTACAGCATTTCTCAACAAGGCCGGCTTCAACTTTGTTAATAAGTGCATTGAGCTGGTTGAAACAAGAGGTATTCCTCCTCTGAATGTTCACATGAGAAAAATAATTAAAATATTGAGTATTTATTCTTTTGTGTTATGAATATATGTTAAACACATATGTGTGTGTTATGTGTGTACAGGCATTACTACGCTGGGACTGTACAGGACCGGGGGAGTCAACTCCAAAGTGCAGCGGTTGATGACGACTGTGTTTGGTAAGAAACATCCTTCCTCCTCCTGCACAGTGATTTTCCTGTATTGGGGATATATATTTCATGAAAATCCATTACTACGGATATAAAAAGTATTTTCTACTTTCCTCTAGCATCCACAGCGCCTACTGACATGCAGCTGGATCCAGACACCTGGGACAACAAGACCATCACCAGCGGACTGAAGAACTATTTCAGGTAACATACAGTACAACGTTTTTAAATGATACCAATGAATTAGGAATTCATGATTTCCTATGTGTGTGCAGGTGTCTGGCAGAACCAGTGCTGACCTACAGACTGCATAAAGAATTCATCAAAGCTGCCAGTAAGAGCTCTTACTGCCCTGCATGCTGTGTGTAGCCTGTCAACAGAAGCACAGAATGTCGTCCCCTTGCCATTAAGTCATGTCCTTTCCTCTGTGCTCTGTCCTTGTTTCACAGAGCATGACGACCAGAAGTACAGAGTGAGAGCAATCCATGCTCTCGTACACAAACTACCAGAAAAAAACAGAGCTATGTTGGACATCCTCACCAACCACCTGCTCAAGTATGTAATAAATAGTAGTCTTTTTTTCTCCAATGCCTTGAGAATGCCCCCTTGATTTGAGGATTTATATAGTCATATTTATCTAGACCTATAGAAATAGGCTTTTAGCTGGGGGGGCATGATATCTTCATACTTCCAATTATCACATGATTCACTATGTGTGTGTGTGTTTGCAGAGTGTCCCTTCACAATGACCAGAACATGATGACCGTGTCCAACCTGGGAATGATCTTCGGCCCCACGTTGATGAGGTCGCAGGAGGAGACGGTGGCCGCCATGATGAACATTAAGTTTCAAAATATTGTGGTGGAGATTATCATTGAAAACCACCACAAGGTGCGCTGACAAATGACCACATATAGATACTCAAAAAACGTGCACACACACACACACACACACACACCTAACGGATTTGTATGTTCCGGCCAGATATTTGGTGAAGCCCCAGACCTGTCCGTGCCAATACCTCAGCCTCCATCCTCTCGGTCGGCTCCTCGGAGGAACAAGGCCATCTGTCTGTCGTCTGGAAAGAGGAGGGCCCGTCTCTATCCTCCGGCTCTGTGCCTGGCCGACAACGACAGTGAGTTATTTCTAATCAGATGACTAGTTTGAGGGGAATAATTCAGCTAATACTCTTACAACCCCTCAATTTGAATTTTTGATTGCAACACTTTTTGTAACACAAATATTAAAGTGGCAGTGGGAGGGACTAATCACTCAGTCTCACTATGATGTGACCTGTTTCCATCCCTCCCTCTAGGTGACACCTTCAGTAGCAGCCCCAGCACCACTCCCATGGGCAGCCAGGAGTCTCTGTCCTCACACTCCTCTGAGAAGAACGGCCTGTCTCAGACCTCGCCTCCGTCCTCTCCTACTGCCCAACCCGACTCGTCCTCCTCGGCGCAGGTGTCTCCTCATGCTGCTCCCTCCTGCTCGCCGCCCCACGACTCCTCAAACGGGAAGGATCGGACAGGCCCGACAGACGGCGCGGCCTCCCCTCGTTTTACGCCTTCCTCTTCCCGGACTTCCTCAGAGCTCACTCCGGCCCAGCAGACTTCCTCCGTGTCCTCCTCCACGTCCTCTTTAGTCTCCACAGAGAGGAGTCTGTCCGCCAAAGGAAACTTGACCGCCTTCCTTGTCATCCCGTAAAAAGAAGTTGAGACCTCCCCTCCGCAGCCTCCCACGTCCGCAGCCTCCATCCAGGCCCCTTTCAGTGGAGCGCGTCTCCTCCCTGCGGGAGGGCCAACCTCTTCAGCGAGCACCGCCTGCCTCCTCTCCGAAGAGCGCTCATGCAGTCGATCAAAGAAATGCATCCAGTGCCTCCTCTACTGTCCCCGAAACCAAAGTGACTACCTCCCCTACTCGGCAGGACAGAAAAACCTGCATGACTGCCTCCTCCTCCTCATCCTCCTCCTCCTCTTTGTTCCCCTACCGGCTCTCCACGTCTTCCTCTCTGACCTCCCTACACATTTCCGAGGGTGCGTACATCTGGGATTGATCTGGGATCTGTGTCGACAGTGAGAGTCTGTCAATTCCCTGTTGGTGTTGGGCTCTAATTTCTCGTGGCTCCTATCGCAGATTACAAAAGCTGCCACGGCTCGGTGCAGAGTCTCATGTCGCTGGACCCACTGGAGGCGACGCACAAACGCAAACCCGCACACACCCGCTGTGGCTCCGATGTGATCGGCAAACACTCTGCAGCCGCCTCATCCAGCAACGGTTACCAGAGACCTGGGTCATTGTGAGTGTCTGCAAGATGTATTGGTGGTTTGTCCCAGGAGAAAGCAACTATTTCGACAAAGAGCGGAACTTTGAAAAGTCAAAATATTATATATATATTACTAAATATGAATATAAAAAAAAGTAAACAGAGACGCGTCATCCCTGTAAATCACGTTGGTTGGCTTAACTTCAAAGGGACACTATTACTCTACGACTGCCAAGTGGTGATTTTGTATTGTTGTGTTGCAGAGCTAATTTTTGTGTTTGTGTGTTACAGATTATCAGCCAGAGGACCGCAGCGAGAGAGTTCGGTTTTCTCCTCAGCATTAGATGTGTGTTCCTCTGGAAGGTATGTCGATTTTCAGCTTGTTTGAGAAGCAACATTTTCCGGTCTTTAAGTAAGTTATTGAAGTCTGCACAAGCAGGATACAACATAGTGATGATTCCTAAATCTCTCTTCCACTAGGGATGCAAAGGCTCTTTACTCCTGTGAAGCAGAGCACAGCCACGAGCTCAGTTTTCCACAGGGGGCGATGTTCTCAAATGGTAGGAAAAAAAACACACACACAGTTTCATTTCCTGTGGAAACTTTGGACCCGTTTATACCTGGTACTAACATGTGATCTGGAGCTGGATTACTTTGGTCTAAAGAGGTCTTTCTGTCAATGGGGTCGGGCTTTATTTTAGCACATTATCCTGTTGTTCATTATTAAATTACTTTTTTGTTTGGATCTGGATTATAATTTGTAATAATAAGTCTAGCATGTGCTTAGAAGTTGTTTATGGCTTTAGATGATGTCAGCGTGAGTCACTATATAAGCTCTAAATAGGTCAATTCACATATGAAGGTCCTTGTTTGTGTCTGCAGTGTACCCGTCTGTGGAACCAGGTTGGCTTCAGGCGACGTACAACGGAAGAACGGGCCTCATACCGGAAAACTACATCACATACATGTGACGGAGCAGATGACGACATCACCACGCCACTGAATAACACAATAACACAAAGCTCTATCTCAGACTTTAGGGATCTACAGTGAAGCTCTGCGCTGCTAGTCAGAGAGATAATATATTCATTGTGTAACTGTGACTGCTATCACTGAACTAAGGCTGGATAATAACGATGCATGTGCTGTATGTTATTGTGACTACGATATGCGAACCATGTTGTTAACCAGTGTGTAATACAGTTGATGTTAAAATCTTGTCTGACTTTTCCTCCATTTGTACATGGCGGTGTAACTTAATCAATGTTATTATCTCCTTTATGAATGCTATACATACATGGCATTTGTCTGTAAGGTACATGGAGGAAGCATATTGCTTATCAATCCTGATAGTGATAGTGATATGTGTTTACTTGGGTAATAATCTTATAGGCTATGAGACCAGAGAGAGTGTTCACACCACTGTGCCTTAAACAGCATGAACTGAAAGTCTGAATCCTGCCTTAACGCCTTCCCTCTACTGTCTGCCATTCTTCATGCTGCCTAAATAAAAGACAAATACTGTACTTAATAAAGGGTAGTTGTAGATTCAGTGTATGGTTAGCATTGTTTTTGTGGCTCATATTTCTTACTTGATCACAGTTTCCTCGAATACATCCTAGTTTTACCAATTGCCACTGTGTAAAACAGATGTATTTATATCAAGGAAAGCTCTCCATGTTAGTTCTGAAAAGGCACATGTCTATTTTTGCTGCAAATGACATATCACTAAATGTTTTGACATGTGTGTGAATGTTATATGTCCAAATGAGAATGATGGACTGTAAGTGAGGGATGTCCCCTAAACGTCTCTGTACTGTGTGTGCATTATAACCATGAAAGCACAAGCCTGCAATTCACAAAAAATACATTTTAATTGTATCTACATTGCTCTCTAATTTTATCACTGTTTTGTGAGCATCCCTCCGTATCTACAGCTTTAAGGCAGCACCGCTGAAGGCGTACTGATCTCTCCGAGCCTCCTCAGCAGTCCGTCCAGTGTCTCCGTGTTCTGGGACTTCTCCTCCAGCAGCTCGTAGCGCAGGCTGGAGATGTCCTGCTTGATCTCTTTCAGTTCACCTGGAGTAAAACACACACACAAAGACAAAAGGAAATGCTTTGTTTCAAAATGGATAATCGCAATGTTTGAGAAATGTAAATGTGAAAAAAGCTTTTTATATTTCAAAATGGATACAACAATTGAAACCAGTTCAGTTTCAGCATCTTTGAGTTGATTTTACCTTCGGTGATCTCGTCGCTCTCTTTGTCTGCTTGAGATTTGATGATGTAGCGCTTTATCAGACGCTTCATGATCTTCTGCAACCAGGGATGGAAAAAGTACTCACTTTCTTAGAATATGTAGAATGTATTATAATGGGAGGGGGCGGGGGGAAGTGAGATAAAAGTCCCACATTAAAGTTTTCAATGAATTCTTGCAGAAAATTATTTTATTGCTGTGTTAACAGGAATAATAGTCACATTTCATAAATGTAGCAGTGTAGTCATAGTGTAGAAATGCTTCATGCTGGATACGCTTTTCAATCATGTTTTTTTGTCTGAAATTCTGTGAAGTACATATCCTAGTACAATACCTATGAAGTACAATACCTGATATCTGGATGCGCTGGTAGAACAGCCAAAGTCCGAATTTTTGCCTCCTCCGAGCTGGAAAATGAAGCTGAAATAAACTTCACTGAACAAAAGTGTGACTTGTGTTGAACTGTGTGGTGCAGCAGTAACACCACTGGGAGGTGCTCAGGCTCTGCCCGTAAAGCTCCATTCAGCATCATGCTTTTATGATTTATGAAACGCTGTGGATACACACCTCTTCAGACTCTACCTCGACTAAAAGACTAACAAATTGTAGCACTTAAATTGTACTTATAACGCTATCTATAGCAAATTGTAAATTGGCTTATTTGAGGAAATTGCACTGTCTTGTTTCTTGTTCTTCTGAGTTTGTACCCGATGGTTAAATGCACCTATCGTAAGTCGCTTTGGATAAAAGCGTCAGCTTAATGACATGTAATGTAATGTAATAATGTACCTGGTTGAGCCGTGTCTCCGTGTCCTCCTTGCTGTGGCCGGCCACGTGCTGCAGAACAAGGCTCTTGATGGCCTTCGCTATTCCCAGCATAGATTTTGGACTGGGGACCAGGTTGAACGGCACAGGGAGCGTCCTACCCTCCTCAAAGTAGGAGAACCAGAGTTTGGCTCGAGCAAACTTCCACTCCACATCGGCATCATCCTAAAGAAACGAAAAGGGCGCGTAGTAACAGGTTGGGAGGATAAACGCACACCATGAGCTCCACTCCTGCTTGAGTCAGAAAGGAATAGTTTGATGAGAAAGGAATAGTCTTAATGAGAAGATTCACAACACTAAACACACATATTGAGAATAAAATCATATCAAAATATTTGTATGATTGCATGATACAATAGACACAATTAGTAGCTTGTTCATGCTTAGAGACATACCTAAATATATCTCAATATACTGAATGATTCTAAACCTAGTGGTTTTCCTTAATTTTAGTATTTTATTTCTCAAAAAAGGAAATATCTCATATTTCACATTTGTGTCTCGCATCTGATGATTAGTATTTAAATGACAAACCTCAATCTCCTGGAAAGAGCTGTTAATCATGGCGATGAGCATGTTGAGCAGCACTATCACCATGGTAACGTTGTAAACCCCGTACAGGACGTAACCGATGTTTTCGATGAATTTGTGCCCATTATTGATCACGACGGACCTAACCTCAGACAGTCCAAAAATAGCCCAGAACAACGTCTTGAAGCTTTCCTCCAGGCTGGACGCAGACACAGAAGAAGATCAAACCATTAATCATTGGGACAGAGAAGATCAAGATGCTGGGAGAAAATGAAAGATGTCAATGTTTTAGGTCATTTTCCTTCTGCGTGCACAATCATTTATGGCATAAAATAATTCAGGCAATCTATTATTATATAATTATGGCAAGGTGTGCTTCCCAACAAGGGATGAGGGTCCTCCACAATAAATCTGAGGGTGCACAATCTATCGTTTCTGACTGTCCCACAATTTGTCTTTTATTTTGAAATTCAAACTCTTCCAACCTGTACAACTTTGAAAGGTGGTAGGCCACTATTTTCAGTGATTTTATTTAATCTATCATCAACGATAATTTAAATACTGAATAGCAACATTTTTCAACACAAGTGGTGACTAGAATGTAAACATTTTTTTCTCTAACAGCTTGTGGGAACAAGGGGAAGTATCTCACGTTGTGAAGGCATCATTCTGCTTCGCCCCCAGGTAATAAGAGTACAGGTTGAACATGCCAATCATGAAGGCCAGAAAGACCAGGATGAAGATGACCATGAACTTGAAGATGTCCTTGACAGTCCTCCCCAGGGAGATCTGCAGTGGACCGAAGCTCTCGTTGGCGGGGAGGATGTAAGCTATCCGAGAGAAGCTCAGCACCACCGCCACCGCGTACAGGCCCTCGGAGACCAGCTGGGGATCTGACGGCAACCAGTAGATCCGAGCTGCAGAAAAACAACCTGGGAATTAATCAGTGTACTTTTGTAAACTAGTTTAAAAAGGCAAGATTATTACAATTAGTTATATTAGGACACAGAAAGGACTGTTTATCTTATTATGATGATAGGAATCCAACAAAATATTATTTGGGGGATTCAAACATTATAAAACGCACATTTGTAATCTGGGACTGAGGGGGTACAAGTAGAGATTTTTTTTTTTTTTTAAGGGGAATCATTGAACCATTGATCAGAGCAGCTTTTACTGAGATTTTTGGAACGCTTGTTATTCTGAAATCTGATTTACCCTGATCCCAATAAATACAACGACACCAACTGTGCTAAAAGTCCAAAGTCAACAGATGGTTATCTCTGTGGAATATATGCTCAACTCGCTGCACCTGTTTATACAAAGTGAAATGATGGTATTTAAAGTTTGTCCGTGAGTGTGTGTGTGTGTGTGTGTGTGCGTCAGCAGGCTCACCCAGTGTAAAGTAGTGTATCTCAGGGGGCAGCGTGACGTTGGTCAGTGTCGTGCAGTGCGCGTGAACATATGTCTGGGCCATCTGAGCGTGCCTCAGGGTGGTGAAGCGACAACTGAAGGAGGCGAGGAAGATCGCCAGCATCCCAAAGTCCAGGAAGTTCCACGGTTCCACCAGGTACTCCCCCGGCCCCAGACTCCAGATCTCCTTCACCTCGGCCCAGATCATACCTGCAGCGACACAAGTCACATGACTGGATGTGCAGGAGGCCGCGGCTCTCCCGTTCGCCTGGGTCGTCCAATGCTCACCGATGACCCACGAAATGATGAGGATCTCCATCAGCGTGAAGGGCGTGGTGGTCATGCGGTAGAGCAGCAGCGGGTCCGCGTTCCCTTTGGGCGCTCGTGGCAGATGATGGTGCGTCATGTTCGGCAACAGCGTGGGGCCCGCGAAGCGGTCGGCGGCGTTCAGGATCAGAAGGCCCAGAAATATTGTGAAGGACGACGCGTGGGCCACAAACTTCATGAAGGGGCTTCGCATCACTTTGCCCACCTGAGCGAGAGAGAGGGGAAGCGGTTGAAAGGAGGAGATGAAGCCCCGGTGCGAGGATTTGGTGTTTTAGGAATGATTCTTTTAGCGGGAACGTTACACACTCGGCTGCACGGAGCGATCCAGTAAGCCACAGCCAGTCCGGGAAGTCCGACAGCCACGGCCAGCACCACCAGCAGTTTAATGGCGGTGGTTTGTTGTCTCAGGCCGGGCATGTTCTCATACCAGATGCTGAGCAGCTGCTGCTGGCAGTTCGGATGTGCCACAAACTGCAAGGCAAAGACATTGCAGAGAAAACCAGTTTTTATGGTTTACACTTAGAAAGGAGGACATTTAACATTTTTGTTGGTTATTGGTAACTGATAAATTGGACAAATCAAGTCTTGAGTTGATGACAAATAGTTTTCAGTTGTTACCACAGCTGCGTTGCTTTTCGCTTTTTAATGTAATTTTCTCAACAGGAAGTGGCTTGCTGGATGGTTGGAAATATACTCTTAAAAAGTGATGATTGGTATTTATTGGAACCCAGACTTTCTATTGCCTCTTTGTAGGCATACCAACCTTTTTGAGTTCGTATTTTATGGCTAATTTGAGCCGTGTGAGGGAGGGGCGACCTGGTAGATCATAGCTGTCCTCAGAGTCCGTTTCTCCGCTCAGTATGGCCTCCACCTCCTCCGTGCTGCGACATAGATCCAGAAGGCCCACCACGTAGTCCTTACACTGGCTCGAAAGGCAGCAGTAGTCGTTCTACGAGCGCAGTGAGGGGAGGTTCGCGTGGGTGAATCAGTCAGCAGCAAGATACCAGTAAGTTAAGCCACGATTTTATGGAGAAAATGAGCTTCTAAACTTGAAAAGGGAATATGGATTTAAAGATACAGGTTGGCTTCTGAGGGTAATATACACCTTTTCTAGAGTTTGGGAAAAGTTTTCACACCTCAAATTGTATTAGTTATTATAGTGAGACAGGAAATGGCCTAAATACCAAGGGAAGTGGCCTTTATAATTAAATAGTGTGAGCTGTGCATTTGGATTTGTAAAACGTAATTATTGCGTCGTGCCTCTAGGATCAGAATCAGAACTATTCATTGCCACGTACGTCACACATCCAAGGAATTTGACTGGGTGAATGGTGCATAACAGTAAACACAGTGCAGGGGTATGCAACATCATTTCAAAACAAAACATTTACATTTACATATTATAATCAAACAAACAACAGAATAGTGTATATGTGTCTGTGTCGGACCAAAATGTTGATAGTGACTACAAGATCTAGACCCCCGTCATTTTCTGCTTCTTCTTTTTGAAAAATACATAAATAGTTCTTGGTTTACTGGCAGCGGTTTGGCAGCAACATGGCAGATATAATTTAGTGAACTTGACGATGAGGTGCTCATCAGGGCACGAGTGCAGTAACTGGCCGCATGTGCACAAGGATTACAGGAGTCGAGTGGGGAAAGTCTTTGAGATATTTCAGAACATTTTTACCTTAAATTCCTTCTCAATATTAGCCAGCATGGCCAGTTCGTTGCTGAGCTCCAGGGCCGCCAGCACCGGGTCCTCATTGGACAGCGACAGGTAAGCGGGACTGGCCAGTCCTCTGTAGGCGTTGATCCTGGATCGCGAGTGGCTGAAGGAATCAAACTGTTGCTGGTAGTTACAGGAGTCGCAGTCGCAGAAGTAGTCATGAGGGTGGTCGATGTGAGCCCCTTTACTCAGCAGGGTGTGAACTATCTCGTACTCTTGGCAGTGCGCCGCGAGGATCACCGGAGTGACGTCGTGAGAGAACCTGTGGGGATGAGGGATCAGTGAAATGGAGGTGCGGTATGACTAGATGTTCCTGAGGGAGACGGATAGAGAGCATTTAGATGTTCATTTTGAGTGAAGCTTCTGCCTTCTAACCGCCTCACCGGGTCCCGTCCTCGTCGTAGGCGTAGAAGTCATCCAGCATGTCTGCTTGAGCGGGGCTCCCCGTCAGACGATGGGCATCTCTAAACGCCGGGTGAAACAGCAGTGCCTCTGTGATGCGAACATAGCCTTTGCCTACACACACACACACACACACACACACACACACACACAGTGTACAGATCAGATGTATTTTATCAGTAGCTGTAGGGCTTGTTGTATATCTAACTTGTGTGATACAAAACTATAAATGCATCCTACTGATGGCTAACAGGAGGGCGTCTCCCACTCTGGCCAAATCCTCTCTCCCGAGCAGCAGCTCCGTCACCTCCAGATGTTCGTTGGCAACCGCCAGCTGCAGGGCGTTCTGGCCCATGTAGTCCACAGCGTTTACGTTCAAGTTGGGCACTTGGAGAAGCATGCGCCGCACTTCTGGTATGTTGCCGTATTCAGCCGCCTCCAGGAAACGCTGCTCAACCTCTGAGGGGCTGATGGAGGGAGCAGAGAACATGTAGGCCGGACCTCGGAGAGCCTGGCGTCGTTTATTAGCACCCATAGGAGCCATGAGCTGCCGCTCAGAGCTGCCGAGAATGCCATAGTGTCAGGAGACATAAACACAGTATTTATCGTCCACCTTGTAACTTATATACACATTCATAAAACTGTTTAGAAACACAACATGAGTTACTTGTTCCCGCTTGTTTTGTCTCAATTTCACATTCTGCAGCTAAAATGTCGGTTTTTTAGTGGCTTAAGATGTGGGTGATGTGATTTAATCATGATTTCAAAGTATGTGCAGATCCCAGGGAATGGGCTGTAAGATGTAATTGTTTTTACTACAACATGAAACAATTAAGTTTTATATTTATAGAACCAGTATTGTATTCACAGTTGCCAGTTTTAAACAGTTCTACATTAAAACTGCCATAAAATGTAAATAATAAAACCAATAAAGAGAGCGTACAGGCCAAAGTTGAAATTGAAATGGCATGCCTTCAACCCTGCACATCATCATCATGCTGCAAAAAAGCCACTTCATGCCCTGATGAACCATTTGTCCAAACATTAAAACATCATTCTAACCTCCATCAACTTTTTTTAGCAGTTGTGCACCATGAAAAAAAAAATATTTTCTTAACTACAGAGATTTTTAGGTCATTTTGTCTCATTGTTTAATTCTCCTTTTATTTCAACAAAACCTGCAGACGAAGGTAAAGTACGCACACATCTGGCCGAGTAAGCTATGTGAAGTTGAAGACTCACCCGAGGCATCGTCCAGAGCAACAGTTTTCTTCTCCCAAGTCATTGCAGAGGAGCAGGTTGTCGCGGCTGCGAGCCCGGGGGCAGTTGGTGCGACCCGCAGGCCGGCTGTTGTGATGAGGAGCTGTCTGCCTGTGGTTCATCCCGGAGGTGGTCAACAATAGAGGGCTGTGGTCCATATGAAGGAGTCAAGTGTCTGTGGCACAACGCTCTCTCCCTCTCTCTCCCTCTCTCTCTCACCCTCCCTCTTTCTCTGTGTCCTTGAGAAAGAATGTATCCTTCCGGGTCCCACAATACGTTTTATTTACACGACTTTATGAACTACACAGATGTGGAGGGCAGCTCATTGTTATGAAATAACAGCAGGCTACTGGTGACATATCGCTATATTTATCTTAACTGTTTTGGGGCTGCATCTTCCTCCTGATTTCTTTTGACATGCTGGTAAATTTGTAAAGATTAAGTGGATAAACGAGGGCAGAATATTCTCAAAATATTGGCCTTTGCCAAATATGTTAACGCTTACACTGTAAAATGCTATTTTAAACCACAGTGTTTAGAGAACATGTTGAGTTTTATCTGTGTGTGTGTGTGTGTGTGTGTGTGTGTGTGTGTGTGTGTGTGTGTGTGTGTGCGTGCAAGTGTTCAGGAGTAACTGATTGCTGATGAACCGCAGATGAGATTCCTCAGGGGTTTAAATTCCCAGCAGTCTATACTTCCTGTGTGCTCCCCCTCTTTCAAGATCTCTGTCCAGTAGGGAAAACAACCACAACTCACACACACACACACACACACACACATACATGTGTGTGTGTGTGTGTGTGTGTGTGCGTGTTAATGTCTATGATTGAAGCTTGCATACATGTATTTTGTCACCAGCAGTTCAAAGATCAGTCACAGCACCCATTACACACACACACACACTCACACAGATAGTTGTATTTATTATTTCTGATGGTACACCGTGTTCTTGTCATTGTCTGTCGGTTTTCAAGCTGAATTTAACATTGAACGCCCCATTACAGCACAGCCACAGGTCGGCTTGCAAACACCCGATAAAGCGTCTCTGATGTACGCTTGAAGCAGTGAGAATTGCCTTTTAAGGCCCTGATTGCTGAAGATTAGTTACTTTGGAAGGTTTCATGACGTAACAGCGTCACGTTTCATGGGGAGGATGGCAGGATGAAACGGGGTAAACTATGATGAATGTCACCAGCGAAAGTTTTTGTGAAGACGCCCTTCTCAGAACAAAACTGAACCGCGCCTTTTCACGTAAACACTGTCAACTCAAACGTACACAGTTATGTGATTTAAATGCGTGGGCAAGCACCTGGATGGACATTTTCTGCAAATGTGCTTTAAACGTCTGATTCTGTTAAAGACATTTTAGGAGCTCGGACTCTTTGTGTGGTCTGGTATGTGTATATTGCTCGGGTCAATGAACCCACGAACACACACGCGCACACGTACGCACACACACACACACACACACACACAAACACAACTCTGTGTGTGCAATTGTGCAGAAATAAGGAGATGGCGCATTGTGGAAGAAAATCTTGCTGCAAAAAACAGGCATTCAGGACTGTGGAAAGAACTGTGTCAGTAATACACAGATTTTTAAGCACATTTTCCTTATGTCTGCAACTGTGCAGACTCCCACACTGCGCAGCGCTGTGACCTTTAAACGGCCATGAAGGTGTCAAACGAGACAACGGAATGTCTCCCTCAACAAAAGTACCAGCGGAACCTAAAAATGGGCCTTTGCTGTGCTGCAAGTGTTTTCTGAGCATTTTGGGGACAAAGAGGTCAACGACCGCAGCATCACTCTGACCGAGTCTGAGGAAAGCATGATGGCATCTCCTCCAGGAGGTCCCATCCCTGCGATTATTGCTCCTGATAATCAGTATATCGATGAAAATCTGTATCCAGAGAGCGCAGGGAAAGAGGAAAGAGGCAAACAATGTTGGAGACAGAGAGGAAGTCGTAAACAGTTTGGCCGGATTGAGCCGACTGTGAGGACATTGCATACCGTTGATACTGCCTCCTAAGCCGGGAAAGTTAGCAGGTCAGATTTCCAGGAAGAAGTGAAAAGGACTGCTCCTGACTCTGAGGGGGGGGTGGCTCTCGGGAGGCTTTCTGTAAAACCTTCTGTCACACTTCCGTGGCCCAGATAGTTCAAATCTTGCCCCTTCGCAGGCCAGGATACATATGACGAGGCTGAATCCGACGGATTGACCACAAAAGTCCTCCGTTAAGACGTGTGCAGGTCTTCTGCTGCCTCTTTGTGCAAAACCCTCCCCGTCTCTGAGAGCAGTGGTAGAGGAGCCTCTATTGTCTGATGGCAAAGGTGAGAGCCAGCAAGACACAACACCAAAACATAAAGAGGCCAAGTGTTTTGGTGTTGTGTGTTCAATCCGACTAGTTTAATCCGTTGTGTTGTTGCAAACCAGAAAAGTCTGTTGAATTCAATCCAACCTGTTAACATCTCCACTGAGCAGAGAAGTTGGTTTGGAATCTCGAAGTGCATTTCAGAGATTCAATTTCTGTTGTGTGCTGTGCTAATGTTGAGATGAAGTGGAAGATTTCTGTAGAAACCTGATAAGAGATGAAACACTTTGTGATTGGGTGAATTTGAGTCAATTGCAAAATGACTTATTACAACTTGGGTCTGATTTTTATAGATTTGTGCGTTTTTTATTGTAAAATGAACCCAGTTCCTGCAGGGGTTACATTGCAGAGAGTTGCTGCAGAGGAAATAACACACACAGAAGTCATTCTTAAAGAACACACCATGGTGAGCGCACCCTCTACTGGAGTGGGTTGGTACTTCAGGAGCTTCAGTTTCACCTGCTGGTGTCAGTCACATTGCAACGTTACAGTACAGATTCATGTATGTATTGCTGCTGCTTTTAATGCTTCACACTAAAATGTGTAAAACAAGAATAAAGGGATTCCCAACAGTTTCCCTGGTAGAGTTTTTTTTTTATCAATACCTTACATTATTGTTTTTCTAAAATTGTCCCTATAGGCAAAAGTCAGCTAAGGCTTAACCACCTGTTTCTGTCAGTAACACAATATATTGCATGATGGTATTTAGTGTAATTGTCTTTAGAGCTATAAGCTGCACACATTTAACCAGCTGCTTCTAAAAACGTCGGCTAGGGTTTCTCCTCCTTTAATGAAATTGTTGGCCCTCTAAAATAAATATATGTTGTGTTACGGAAAGGGTTTGCTACTTTATTATAATTTGTCTGTTTGCTGATGTTATATATTACATTATAATGTCAGTAATATTTATCCTCAAGTCAAGGCAAAATCACCTTAAAACATCCTTCAAGAATGAATGAAAACAACGGATCCTTTCATCTGTTTTATTAGAACGAGGTTCTACAACAATGCGGTGCAACTTCTACAATATGTGCTTTCTCCCTCTGTCCCTCTGCTTCTTCTCTCTGTTAATTATTGGTTGTAATCCTCCTAATCTTCATCGTGACGGATTTGATGGCGTGAGGGACTCCATTCTGTCTCCAGGTGTCCCACACTATGTTCGTCCTCTGCCCCGGGTCCAGCTCTGCGTCTTCGGGAGAGCCGTTGAGGTTTGCCAGGCCGCACTGGTTGAACCACCATCCCGTCCGGTTGTGCCGGATGCTGCAGCTTTCCACCGTGAGGTTGCCGATGGAGCAGGAGGGATTACAGCCGTCATTGTCCACGTCCGAGGCGCTGAACGGAGCCGTGTCTTGGTTCTGATCCTGGTCGTAGCCGCGAAAGGCGTCACCTGGAAGTGCACAGAGCGGCTCACGGGTGTGCACACGTACACGGGTTGATTGTGAACATATAGTAAGTGCGTGTATCATTATTTTTTCTTTTTGCCAGTCTAGAATGATGAGGTCTTACCTGCGCTGCCTGCATATCTGCCCAGGTGTATACTGAAGAACTCGGTTTCATTGTCCATGTCGAAATCATCATATGCTGCGTAAGAGGTGACGTCATCGTTGGACACCAGGGCAATGTGGAGTTGGAACCGAGTTTCTTTCTGGTTTACTATATGAAATATCTTCTTCAGACCCAACCAGTGTTCTCCTACACACACACACACACACACACACACACACACACACACACACACACACACACATAAAAGAGAAATCGTGCATTAATCATATCATTGGTAAATGAGAAATATTTTTAAATGAGACAGCATAAAATACTTTAAAAATGTTTCTATATTGTTTCTATTTAAATATTTCATGTCCGTTTTTATTACCATGTTGTGCTGCATATAAATTAAGATTTGGAGTCAACATGCAACAAATCCATGAAAAGTACAGCTTGCAGTTTGAACATGACAATGCTCCATGCAGCGCACACAACCAGGTCCATTAAGATGGTTGTCTTAGGTTACTGTGGATATTGACTGGCCTGCACAAGGCAAAGACCTCACTACTGCTTTTGTGGCTGGAAGACAGGAGCCCAAATGTTGTTGTAAGTATTCTATGCTGAACACTATACAATTGTGCGTAATACTTTAGGTTATGTGATATATGTGTTAATGATAATCTCAAAAACGGTCTGTGCCTGCACGGTAGCTGATGTTCTTGAGCAGCGAGCCGGTGCAGTTTTGCACTTTGCCGTTCTCAACACCTCACCGTCCTCCCAGTGTCGGAATAAAGCTTATATCAGGAAAAAACTGCCTTCTGTCAACGTGGAAAGTGATTTCACACAACCTGCAAGGTTTCCGAAGCCATCGACATAATCAGCCCAGGCTCGTTTAAAGTCAGCTAATCCGTCGCTCCTCCTTTGCATCACTGTCCATCCGCCTCCCATGTAGTCCATCTCACAGAACACCTGCGGCACAGCGTCTGTTTTTACTGCTGATTAAGTGACACAATGTGAATAGCTAAAGTATCGAGGTACGTCTACCTCAAAAGAAGAGTCCGTATTCTCTGGGTGGACGATGTAAATACCACTGGGGATCTTGGGGACGACGGACAAAAGACTGTCCTTGATGTCACTGCAGTCTCGTCCTAATCGAAGCAAACACACTCTTTTATCAGCAGGAAGAAATGTTCACTCCAGGATGCACACTTGAGTGAGGACGCCAGTGTTATTCCTCATAACCATCAAAAAGATATTGATGTGTACAATTGGCGCAGTTTGTACAAACAAAGGCCGTGTCATCTCAAGAGCGTGTGTGTACGTCACCGTGGGACTGCACGGGTTTGACGGAGTACAGCTCAGCGTTGCTTCTCTGAACCTCAGAGCTCAGCGTCTGCACTTTGGTCATCAGCTCTGTAACCTGGAAACGTAACACTGCTGTACATTCAGCCGGCCGATGAAAAACGCTCGCAGACCTCGTCACTGGGAGAGGAAACAGAAGACTGCACTTTACCTGACTGCTGAGGATGTCCAGGGCTCTCTGCTGCTCCTCCATCACATCCCTGATCAGCTTGCGGGTGCTGCGTCCAAACACTAACAGAGACTGCTGTAACTGGCCTACACACACACACACACACACACACACACGTCACTTTCTAAACAACAGATGGCAATGAAATATTTAACCCTAACATCAGGAAAGAGACATACTTACTTACCACAGATTGAATGTTTCTCATCTTGTAGCAGCTTCACAGTCATATCACAGGGGATGGAGCATGTGTCCTGACCTTTGACCCCTCCTGGAAGTTTCTGACCTTTGACCGGGGCATCAGAAAGGTCCTCGTTGACTAATTCTGATTGGCTGAAATAACCGCTGTGTCCTGTGTCCTGGCAACCGAGAGGGAACTACAGTCCAGCTTTAATCCACAGATTATATTGTATGTCAAGTGTAGCTAAACTGGGACCTATACTTCACAGAGCAGGACAAAAGGTCCCGGCCAGCGGCCGTATCCAACGCTCTCCTCTGTACACACATGAAAATAACAACTCTTATCTGGGGACCAATCAAGTTTTAGGTCAGACCTCCTGGCGGGCTACAAAAATACACTCTAACATGCAACTGCAATATCCTGCAGTCTTTAAATCCAGAACAAAAAATAAGGAAGCTCATTTGCTGTACAGTATTTTTGAGGGGTACTTTATTTGGCCGATTTCTATCGAGGCTACTTTACATTTTTACTTCTTAATCCACTAAATGTATATCTTGCTTGTGTAACTTAACTCTCCAATATCCATCTTATTTTAAGTATTTTTAGTCTGGAATTAAAATAGTAATAACAATAATAGCTGCTGACTTAACATATTTTGATGCAAAGCAATTTATCTCACCAAGCACAGAACATAACAAGCATGCTGCTCACACATTAATACATCCGACACTATATTGAGGTGCTATTTGACACAACACAGTAATGTTTCTTTTAATGCTTGAATGCATTTTGCTGATAAAACATTGATTTTACTAAAGTGCAATTTTGAGTGCAGGACTTCACATTTGTAGTATCTATCACAATAGTTTTTCTGACTGTTTGTACACACACACACAAATACAGTGTTTTCCTGATTTTTGGGCATATTATCCCTATAACGTGTCAGAACAACTTTCTTTGCAATCTTTATTAACACACAGACATACACGCTTTGGATGATGGTTAAAAACAAAGAAATAATCACGATTCACGAGCTATCCATGATGCCTAACTCCAAACTCTTGGATCTCCTCGATTGCGTCAGCATTTCTTCAGGCAACTCCTCTACAAAAAAAATCTGTAATACAATACTTCTTGGCGCCGGTTCAAATTTGACCGAAACAAAGCCCAAAAGAAATATCTTATATCTAAGATAGCACAATAAGTCGTGGCACATTCATGACATGCATATCATACATACAGTGGAGGAAAGCAGATGAGGCACCATCAGCAGAATGACAGTTGTCGTCCACATCATGTCACTGTCGTTGCCTGACTGGAATTATTTCCTGAATACCACCGGTTGCCACTCCTTCATTGGCGCTTTATCTTTCCTCAGAGTCCGCTCTGCTCCCTCACATGTCCACCCGTCTACCCGAGTCTTATCCGTCCTTCCTCTCAGTTGTCAAACTTCTCCCTGCTTCCTCTCTGACTGCCTCACTCTCTCCACCAGTCACTCCCCCTTTTTCTTGTGAATTCCCATGACAACATCCCCCGTAGGAGCAGTTGAAAATGTGTAAATGGGCTGAGGATAAAAGGCTGGACATGTTTCTGACGAGTAGGCAAACTGAATGTGCTGATTCCGGATTTGTGGTAAGGAGTGACTGCCTCCCCCCCCTCGGTGTGTCTATTTCCAAGCCCTTCTGTTTTACAGGTTATATCCTGGCACCGGCATGAGAAACAGATGTGGGAAAAGGGGAAAAGGCAGCTTGTTTTAATGTTGGAACACTTTGTCTCTGCTTGTGTCTTAAAATGGTATAGCAGGAAGATGCAGGGAAGGCGGGGTGTCTCTGGGTGTCTCTGGGTGTCTCTGCCTTTTGTGCTCATGTTTCCTCCCTCTTGTCTCTCTCTCTCTCTCTCTCTTTCTGACCACTGACTCATCTGAAAACAGCCTCCCAGAACGTAGACCCATTATTTCCTAACTGGGCAGTTAAGCTGTGAGGAAAGTAAAGAGAGCAACAGCACATTCCCGTCAGGGTCCGCCATGTCTCGTCCCTGGGAAAGTGTTGCCGTGAGAGCCAAAGAAAAGCTTTAATGTTGTTCTGAACCTGTGTCAATTTACACCGTGGTCAGTGGGAGGAATGTGAAAGGCCTGGTGCCACAGCCCCGGGGGGCAGCGGGGGGGCACATCTGTCCTATGTTACATGTTCTTGTAAAGCAGTCTATGCATGAGATGTCCCTTTATCATGTATGGCTCACTGCCCTTGTGAAGTTTTAATATGCCAAAAACAATAACCCTTGTACGACAAGCTGAGATAATCGTCTGCATGCGTCAGACTGGGTGTCAATCCGAAGTTAATTAGCATGTTTCCTCCTTTTAATAATCAAAAATATACGAACAACCACCGCCTATAAAACATTAGTCAATTAGTTTTTCTTTCTTAGGATTTTTCTTTGGTTTTCTTGAACAAAAGTGACAACGTGGTTTTTATTTTGACATTCATCTCTAACCAATTCAAGATTCCCGAGCTCCTCATTTATCACCTGAATATGAGACTATTTATGTGTTGAATTAAACCAGTTGTCCTTTGTAACTGTTCATGACCTGATAACCTTTGTGTCATTGGTCTGGTGGTTCCCGGTGGTTTTGCAGACAAAGTGCCCAAAACACAGTTACATTAGAGACAGTTAATCTCCCCCGCAACATCTGCCCTGTATCCAGTGCATTAAATGCAGCTATTCACAAGTGTTAAAATATAGTACAGTGCCATCTGCTGCACTGTGGTTTGCATTACAGTAAAATTGGGCTCATGTTGACCTTTTTTCCTGATTACTCACAACTAATGACAATAGTGGAACAAATATACATGTTGTCTTAAGGATGGGAAAAAACTGTGCCAGAAGGGGAACAAATCCTTTGTTTAATCAATAATAGAGAGAGGAAATCAAGTTGTAACACGGAATGAACTTCGAATAAAATTATTGGTTGAGTTCAATTCAACACAAATAGTTAAAAATGTTAAGGGTTTAGAAGGTTCATGTTAACAAAAATGTTGACACAAGACCCCAAAAAGGCATCCAAATCATGAGTTCTCTTAAAAATATTAAACCAACCGTTGAAATCTAAACAAAGTTGTATAAGAATACAAGTATATTCTCTTTTAAATATCCTTCCATGCGTTTCTATTATGAATAGTAAAATTGTCCATGTCCACTCTGTCTCTATTATCCCTGGGGACCCCTCGATGACAGGATGAGTTTTTGGAAACACACCGGACAATAATTATTTTCTTGGGCTCAGGCGCGCGCTGCGCGTGCTTTCCACCAGGGGGCAGGAGGCCGTGGCCGCGCAGCAGCGTTCACACAAACGGGCTCTGGCCGAGTTGGCCTCATCAGGGGCGGATGTTTTCTCAGCGCAACTTCCCAAACCCCCCCTCCCCTAAAAAAACAGACCCCAAAAAAGCTTCCAAGCCTTTATTTCTCCTCAATGGAGATCATCTTTTTATTTTTGTTCTTGCCACCTCTGTCTGCACTTGGCTCTGTGCCTCTTTCCTTCAGCAGGAGAGAAAAAAAAACAAAAAAAACCCGCACTAACTGGGAACTGCACAGAGGATTTTATTCGGCTCTTAATACCACTGATGTGCGTGCATTTTCAGTGCGCAAAAGTGACGCGTGTGTGTGTAAACAAGCTGGAGACGCAGACAAAACAACAATAAACTCGCGCTCAGACCGCCTCGTGTTGAAGGTTAATGTCCGTCTGTCTGTCTGCTCAGAGACACATTTCTCCCGCAACTACTGCGGCAGCTTTAAACGCCGCAGCCCGCGGCCCCGCCCCTCCGCGCTATCACATGCATCTGGGACTCCTCGCTGGATGGGAGAAAAAAAAAAGTTTGGAGCTGCAATCACTTCTCTCTCCAACTCAGTTTCCCATAACTTTTTTGTGTGGGGGGGCGAAGGAGGGGGGGCTTTCTTGTTTTGTTTTGTTTTTCTCCACTTGAGACGACTTTTTAGGTCAACGTGGGCATCGGGAATCGGTGTCCGTCTGAGTGTTTTCCCGGCTGTGATTTTTCCAGTTTTATTTCTCCTGCAGGAATACTGGGGGGGAGAGAGAGAGAGAGAGAGAGAGAGAGAGAGAGAGAGGGAGAGAGAGGGAGAGAGAGGGGGAAACGTCCCGACTGCTTGAAGGTATGTGGGAGGCTTGTAACGTGTTGAGATTGGGCTTTTTTTTTTTTTTTGCTTAACCTGCGCCTCTTTCGACTTATTTACCCCGATTGAGTTTCGTTTTTACGGCTGACTAACTTGAGATGTAACAGTTCGACACAGACAAGGACATATAACAGTTCAAATGGGGGGTGGAGGAGGGGGTGGGAGTTAAAAGTGTAAACAAATCCGCTCACAACTCCAGCACTCGGCCGTAATCGAGTTCGAGCGAGCGCGACGTTTTAATTCCCGTCTTCTCTCGTTCGTTTTGAACTTTTTCCGACAGATTTTCGTTTCGACACCCGAAACTTTTGGGCGACATGGACGCGCACCGCGGCGCGCCTCCGGTCGGGCAGCAGATCGTGCACGTCCGCGGGGACTCGCAGACGGAGCTGGAGGCCCTGTTCAGCGCCGTGATGAACCCCAACAAGTCGGCCAGGCAGCCGTCCTCTCTGCCCATGAGGATGAGGAAGCTGCCGGACTCCTTCTTCAGGCAGCCGGACTCCCGAGGCCACTCCAGACAAGTATTACGCATTAACGCATCGCCGCCGGTGTGCGCGCCGCGAACTGCGTCCACTCACGTGGACCGCGGAGGCACCGGGGAGACGGAGAAAGTAGTGCCATCAAACACTACCTGCTTTGTGTCAGTAGCTAGTGGGGGGGGGGGGCATAAAAAGAGTAAACATGATGGGAAAAGATATTTCGTATTCATACAAGAGAGCGACAATGTATGAATAATAATCAATAGTCATCAACCTTTTTGAAATAGGAGCTGAAATTAATGATTATTTTCGTTATTGCTTAATCTGCAGATTTTTGTCTTTATTATTATTAGTTAGTGAAAACGGTGATAAAATACTGGTAATTTCTAAATGAAATTTAATGCACTGCATAATCAATTTAAAGAATATGATCATGAGAACCAGCGGTTAATGTAAGAATCAATACTTATCTTAATAAAGCTCCTCAGTGAATAATTCAAGCTCCACAGCGGCAGCGTTTCCTGCACGGCTGCTGTGCTGGATAGTTTTGTATTTGTTTCATTACTGCGTTTCTTTGGGCTATAATATAGAATTTGAACGTTTGAGTGAGGTTTTCATATCTTTTGATTTGGACATATTGTTTTGTATTTCTAAGAGCACCAACAGTTCAAGTTGCAAAATATTGAATATTCCAGATTTCTTCGCGAATGCTCATTACTTACCGGCCTAAAAACCTTTTTATTCAGGAAGGCGTTTCTTAAGTTTCACTATTTTTTCACTTTGTTTTAACTAATGTTTTAACAATGTTTTTATTACGATACATGGGCTCTGTGGCACTCTGAGATGTGTTTGAATAAAAAGGGATTATTTTGATGAATAAGCACTTATTTAATCAGCTGTGGGCTGGACATATCAAAGGTGTTTCTGAATCGGTTTTCCCCAAGAAACCCACTGCTGACAGGTAATGATTATGAGTTGGCATATAATTGGGTCACACTGGATGTGTGTTAATCGACATTGAGAGAACATTTTTGTGCTCTCCATGCAGGTCACATGTTGGGCTGATAACAACATTTTACCTGTACTCTCAACTGCCCCTTACAAAACAAAGCTACCTTCACAACCAATCGTATTTCACATTAACTGGTTTATTTGTTTCATGACCAGGAACAACTCTTGAGTCTTTCAATTTGTAGACGTGCCTCAAATATCATCATTTCTCAAATTGAGAAACATTATCAGAAAAAAAAAACTAGTGACTGATTTCCAGGGATCTGCATAACGCAAATCTCTCTGCGGCTGCCATCTGAACCTTTTTCTTCCGGCTGGGTCAGTTGTTTTGTGGCTCGTCGTGGGAGTTGTTAACGCGTGACTGTTTCTCGTCAGGCCAGTTCGGATGGAGGTGTGTGTGGCTCCCTAACTCCTCATCACGTCCGCGCCCACTCGTCCCCTGCCTCCCTTCCAGTCAACTCGCTCTCCACTCAAGCGGCAGATGTGGCGGCAGCAACAGTCGTACCTGACGACGTGCCACTCCCCCACGGTTGGGAAATGGCCAAAACGCCTACCGGCCAACGATACTTCCTCAAGTAAGGCCATATCTGTGGCACTGCAGGTGACGTTTCTGTTCAGAATGATGCAAAGAGACGGATCCTCATTTTCTCAATATGCTCTCGACCGCTTTATGGCTGCACGACCGTTTAAGTATGAATGTTGGATCAATTAGTAAGTAAAAATAAACAAACAAAAGCTGTAAATCTTTACATTTGAGAAGCTGAAGGAAGCACATTTCAGGGTATTTGCTTGATAAACCCATGATTTGTCTGTGTGTGTGTGTGTGTGTGTGTATATATATATATATATATATATATATATATATATATACTGGTTAGTAGTTCCTTTATTAAACCAGTTTTAAATGCACCAGTAAGAGGTTTTTTTAGATCTCTAATTTTATATTGACTGAAAGTGTAATTCTTGAATATTATGCTGGTGAAACGATGCACTTAAAAAGTAAAGGTAAATTGCAGCATTGCAGATATGACCGGGGCTCAAACTAATCGGTTTCATGCCAACAGAAAATGTTCCGACTAGTTTTACCATCCGCGGGGTTTCAGCCAGTTTTATTTCCGGGAGCACACGGCCCGACATCTCACACTCCTGTCACTCCAGCTACTGGTAGTACAGGTAAAGCCGGTCCGATGTTAAAACGAGCCTTGCGGTTCTCGTCCGTCGGGCTTACAGGGGGGGGTTCAACCAATACGCTGAGACTTGTCGTGTGTTTGCAGTCACCTGGATAAGACGACTACTTGGCACGACCCTCGACTGTCGCAGCTTCAGTCGGCTGCAGCTCAGCATCCCATCGCTGGCACGCCGGTCCACGCCCACTCCCTCAGCAACCCGGCCCCCACCACGCAACAACAGAACACCAACCCAGAGACAGGTATCGCTCCACCCCCGTCACACTCTCGCCGGTCAGTTTCATTCTAAGAGGGCACACACGGGCTTATTATAGGTCAACTCCATCAACAGTGGTCTTGGCTGGGTGAGATTCTTTCAGGAGTTCTTTATCTATGTCTCTGGTGACCTTAGTAAGGATTTAAAAAAAGTAGATTAAATCCTTAAAGACCCTCATTATAAAACGAGAGATGACCCTTGAAATGAAAATCTGATTTATACGTTTCATAGACTGTTTGACTAATGTTATCTTTGAATGGGTAACTTCTTCATAGCACCAGTTTACCCACATTTCTTTATTCTTTTCATTTATACAACAGAAACAATAGACCGCTGAAGAGAAATGTGAGAAGACGAACGTGATGCAATCATTTACACCAGAGGCATGTCAAGAAGACTGACTTTAAAAATGATAAACCTATCCTTTAAACCCCCGAAGCACCTCTGTTTTCACCAATACCACGCCATAAATAAGTCAACGTCAACAACAAATGAAAGCAAGTTTGTATAAAAAAGACAAGATACACGTAGAATAATATATTCTTACTTTATTCTCTCTACGGAAGTACTTGGTACACTAACACAGTTGCTATTTACCTTCTAACCTTCACTTCTATCTATAAAAACTCTATAAAGCTACGCAGATGATATATCAGCCGGGGCCAGATTTTTATTTTCTACTCTCCATCCACCATTCGCCTTCTCACTGTGTACTCTCACTGCTGTTCAGGTCCGTTGCCTGAAGGCTGGGAGAAGGCTGTGACTGCAGATGGAGAGGTGTACTACATCGATCACATAGATAAGACCACCGCATGGGTCGACCCGCGTCTAGGTAGCACACTATCAAATTTGTGTCTCATCAATTGACAATTCTAGATTGTCAATGAGAAGAATTTTGTTCCAATGTCCACCGTCATAAGTTGTTGTTTGGCAACGAAAATAAGAAAGATCGCAGTTTGGATGTTTTCTTTTCATATTTGACATTGCTCAAATGTTACAACTCGTGGAAATATTGATATGATTATATAAATGTTCTTATCCTGTGAATTGGATGTTGCAGCCCAGAAGATGAAATCTGGCATCCTCGGCTTGGCACTGCAGCAAAGGCAGGAAAAGGAAAGGCTCCGATGCAAACAAGGCCTCCCTCCGCAAATCACACAGGTCAGAGTTTAAATAAAAGAGTTCTTGGACTGTGCTTGCAGCTGCCCGAGAATTGCTTTCCAAATCGCTCAACACAAGCTTTCCTACATTTAATTTATTTCTTGTGATATTGTATGATGTTTGGTTGCTTTCAGGCTGCATATTTAGTTCAGATTTAACGGTAATTGAACCCTTGTTTCATGTGAACAGAGCTGTAGTTTTAGACCTCCTTGTATTGTATGTCGGTCCTGTAGGAGGCAGGAGGAAGGAACCAGATGCCCGGTGGGATGGACCATGACAGGAACGCACAGACGCTCGTCCCTCCTCTGGATGTAAGGATCAGAGCCTCCAGCCACGAACCCACACTTAATGGGTGAGCGCCTGTTTAATATTATGTACCATCCCTTTTATCGTAGCGTTAAATAATCACTAAGTTTGTGTGTGTTCTTGTGCAGCGCTCACTCTCGCAACGAGAGCACTGACAGCGGTCTGAGTGTTAGCAGCTTACCTCGCTCATCGGACCACATGTTGAGCTCTGTGGATCACATGGACACTGGTAACACACACACACACACACACACACACACCTACATAAACACACCGATGTCAGAAAGATGGTGCCAGGGTTCCCACAGTATGAAAGTGGTAAAGGCAATCAGCTTTATTTTTTGTAATTAAAAAAACATATTATATATTACAGCAGTCATTTTTCTAAAGACGTTACAGATCATTTGACATAATTTATATTTTAATTGACAACAACCGCAAACCCAAGTGAGTCAATAGGAATACAAGGAGAAAAAGAGAGCTGTGTGTGAACTGTTGCGATGCTAATTAAATGCACAAATGGACACATTAAACGATATAACAGAAAACGGCTTTGACTTGCAGCTACTTTATTATCTTTACTCTCTTCTACAACATGCTTCCGAATGATGCCTTGGTGGTGCATAAATATGCATTTTAAATTACTACTTGTGTGTTCTTTTTTTACTCTGGAAAAAAATGTTGGTGGATTTTTATCAGAAATTGAAGATCAAAAAAACTTAAATGTGCATTTTAACGTGTTCATACACCCTTTCTGTGTGATTTACAAACTGAACACATACTGATCACATACTTCTCCTAGGTGACTCCGGGGAGACCTCCTCGATGACCGTGCAGGAGTCGATGTCTGTGCTCCCGATGTCGGAGGGGGAGGAGTTGATGCCTTGCATCCCGGAGGGTCTCAGTTCCGACCTTCTAATGGACATGGAGACCGTTCTCTCCGGGTCGCACATGGATAGAGACAGCCTGCTCACCTGGCTATAGACACACCCAGCCGCGGCCCCAAAATATGGTCTGACATCAAATCTTCATGACATGACTTGATGAGATCTGGGGAATCCTTGGCTTCGATAGTGGTACAGAACAACGTCAGTGAAAGAATATGCTACTTCTAGGTGATGGATCCCTAGCAGTACTCGCACCCCGAGGAATAAGAAAAACCGGACTCTGGCAGAAGGTGGTAAGCTGCTGGCTTTCTCTTGTTGGGCTCAGTCTTACAGACACGCATAAAGCAGTATCCGTATTTTCCCAACACTTTTAGTCATTGACCTCCCGATGATGCTCCCCATGTCTCGGGTAAAGAGTACAGATTTCTATTATTACCCCATCTCGGGTAACAGTGTTTGCAGCCAACTTTTAAAAGCAGTGCCAGGTTGATGAAGTCTGGATGTGGCAGTTAAATAAAAAACAAGACACATAGCATAGAAGCTGTTTTAATATATATCATATCCACATGGACTCTGTTACCTCATGTAGCTTGTGGCGTAGAAGAACAACATCTAGTGCTAGTACCTCTAAGCAGCCTGTAATTTGTGATTTCAATGCTTGTAGTTGTCCAAAACATATTGTCTTTAAAAGCTTCAAGACAAGTAGCAAAGAAATGATCGAAGAAATGATCTGAATTACCTCGACATTTGTTGTATGAAACCAAAAATAATCAAAGCTAAAATTACCACAGCTACATACCACTGGTACAGAAACATAAGGGGTGGAGGACGCACCCTAGTGGAGGGCCAGTAGAGGATTAGGAACACTAACAGGTTTTCAGTTGAAAGGCTCAAAAGCCAAAAAAACAGTATTAAAACCCTCATCAGTCACTTCTAAGTCTCCGTGGAATATCTTTGAAGGATGATAAGCTTTAGTTTTGATCACAGTTTTGAAACTTCTTTCAAAACCTTTCACTTTCAGAGGAATGAATTTGGGTACTAAAACTATGATGAATGTGCATTTAAGGTTGTTTTTAAAGAGAATATAAACGGGCTGTCTACAGTGAATCAACACATTTTCAGTCAATGCAATCCAACACACTAAACATACATAGTCAATTAAATACTGAATTCCTCCCATTAGCCCAACTCCATGCTAAAACACTAAACAGCCTGGCTGTAAAATGGCTTTTTTTCTCACACCCAGGTTTTGTTAGTCCTGTCTCTGTTTTTTGTTGTTGTATTGGATTAATTTCTCCCCTTTAGCATTGCATATAAGCTTCACAAAGGTAGTATTTATTGGAGATTTGTTTTATTGGATTGCATGATATTGTACAGCAGTGATATTATTATGTTAAAGAAATGACGCCACAGAGAGGCCACAGGGCCTGGACGTTATTTCTCCTTAGTGGGTTTTAGCTCTCATCATTTTCAGCAAAAAAATGGGCAAGAGTGGAATCTCACAAAAAAAACTAACAGAAATGAGTGAATCATTTTTAAAGAATGCTGTCAGCGCCATGAAGATATTAGTTGGCTACCTCTCTATAGAGTTATAATATCCTCTGTCTGCGGATCAAGTTTTACACTCGTGAAGGGCTGTTTTGTAAGTGGGAATGAAGAAAATACTGTTTGAAAATTTGATTTTATTGGGAAAGTTACAGGATAAGTCAAGGACCCGATTGTGCCTGTCCACAAACGCAGCCTTCTTATTTGGGATGCTGTGGTCTTGGTATGTTTTGTTCCAACTGTAATTGCCATCTGGGGCTGTATTACTGAAAGCAGTCATCAATAAGGGGAGTTATTTAATTCGCTGTCAGTTACACTATATCATTATAAGTATATAATCTGTTTTTATCTTCTAGGTTGTATTTGCTATGTTTTCATATTTTACCGGTATTTGAAGCTAATTAATTATTGGTGAGAGCCTTTCTTCCAACCAGTCTTCTTTTTGTGAATACGGTATTTAGAGGTAAAGACTTCCCCAGCACCCCAAAATAAATGACCAAGTCACCTGATCTTTTCTACATGGGCTAGGAGCACCTCACTGTTGATACACATAATGCAACACACTACCTAGCCTTTTATGTATCTTAGCACGCATGACACACATGTTACATTATAAATATGTTTATTATCTTGTTTATTATTTTTTCTTTTGTATGCATGTGCTTTATATCAATATATTTCTTCTTACTCTCACTGTAACCATTTTAAAGGAGTTTCTGTTTAATAAAAATTAAAACACACATTGCAAATAGTAGTTTCTAGTGTGGATTATTCGCTGTGTGAACACAATGATGCAATACAGGTGGGTGTGTGAGTGAGTGAGATAGAGAGAGATCTAATCAGAATAATGATCACATAATCAAGACTTCTGACATGTGACTTACCCATTATCTAAAGCAGATCGTAGGATTGACACGTCAGTTAAAGGGGGCGTGGTCATTTCAGGGGAACTACAATGAGGATTTCAGATTCCAACCACAGACCGAATGATGCCTTACGTGACTCGAGCCCGTTCGACTGGTCTTCATCCAAGCTTCCATGTAAGTATGCCGTCTATTCTTTGTACTACTAGTTTAGCTTTAATAGCCTTATAGAAGCTAAGTCAAAGGCAGAATGTTAGCATTTGTGTAGTTCACACAGTACAAGTGACTATTATCAGTGTTCGCTCAATGAGTGACATGTCTCTTAACATGGTCCAAGTTCATTTACTCATTTACTTTAGGTCCTTTCTACAATTATCTGAAAACAAATATGTTACAAACAAAATATATGTTTGAAAAAGTGATCAGTTTATATGAATATGTGGTGTAGACTAAACTATCCAATGGGTTTTAAAGAACTACCTCCACCTGATGTAACATTTCAATGCTGCTTAGTATGTGACATTGGCTGTATTACAATTAGCTAAAATAGAGTATTTTATCTGAGCGATATTGCTACATGTACTTAAGTCAAATATATGTTTATTATATATTTTCAAATATATCCCTATTCATTCATGCATACGATTTTCTGTATGATGGAGTTATAAAGCTTCATGTAGGTTTCCTAACCTCTATTTAATATCAAATAAAATTAAAAAGTGAATAACACGGATTTGATGATCCCATAACGTTGTATGTGTAATCTGGAGATCCACACAGGCGTTGCTGCATGAATCCAAACTTATCTTTACGAAATATTCCGCAGGTCTAAAATAAGAATTTTGTTTTGCTGGTCTGCGTTTTACATAATAGTCAGTTTCATGCAATTAATGTCCCGTTTTGTTTGGAATAATAACTCACAGTTTGCTGTAGACGTTGTAGCATTAGAAGCATTACGGCCCGCGCCATGCGTCCATATACGTATATATGTTATGTATCCTTATTAAGTTCCAGTTCGTAATCTTTATTTCATTCCACAGACAACCGGAAGTAGAAAGAGGCGGTGTGACGTCTTCGCTAAAAACGCTCGGTCGATGTTGGGACTTTCCGCACCGACTCGCGAAGAGGTGAGTAGTGTCTGACTAATGTACGGCTGGCTTTTTATAATGTCACCTCCGTGTCACCTCGAACAATGCGCTGCCAGACGGACTAATGACTCACGGCAGCTCAGCCGTTTGGGGCGTCAGGCAACGTTAGCTTAAGCAAGCTAATGTCCGTTGATATTTAACCCCGGTTTCTGTTGGGCGTTGAGTGTCATTGGGCAACTTAAAAACGTCAGCTAGGTTGAAAGTGTTTGTTTTTAAACAATGCTTTACTGGAGCTAATCCTAACCCCGTGCTTAATATGCAGGAATATAATTTTAGTTAATGTGAGCTAAAGGCGTTACATTACAATGTAACCGGAGCTAAAACCGGAAGTGTTTGTTTAATGACCTAACGATTACGTCACCTATCTCGTAGAAAGTACCTGGCACATCCTGCTTGGAAAAAATGCAAGCAGGATGACTTGTAAGGAATACTATTTTTCCCAAGAAATGAACGTTGATTTCACCGAATGATCTATTGGTCTGTCAAGATGAAATGGCCACTAAGTAAATCACTTTCTCCAAAGTTACTGAGCTAAGGGAAATAATTGTATGCTTTAGCTAACGTGATGACTCATCTTGTTGCTCTGGAAATACCTGAAGTCTGAGGAATTCCTGATAATATCTTTGGGGGTGGGGGTAATAGTGATTTATTTATTTTTTGCATTGAGAATGAACATTTATAACATACGGTCTGCATTATAAACAGGCAGCATGAAGTTTGAATACATTTACCTGAAACCAAATTGCATTTTGGTTGCATTGTGGGACTTGATTTTGACCTTTCTCTATAGAATCCGTCCTGTCACTTCCCCCAGCTTTATGGAAAAGCAATAATAAGTCAAAGGGGTACTGTTTCTAGCATTCTTAATGTGGGGATTTACTGCTTTTCTCAGTTTTACGTCATTGTTACATGAGTATCAGGCTTTTGCACAGTTGCTCTAACAAAACCCCATTGTTACCTTGCCTTCTGGGAATAGTCGTTCAACATTAGTCACCTTTTTTTCTCATATTGCACCAGATTTATTGATGAAGTCAATTTTGAAGCTTCACCCGCTTGGATTAAAACACTGCTAATTGTAAAGATGATTCCTGTATTATCTCAAATTTGATCAATTTAAAGAGTAGCGGTTCAATTGGTTCGAATCCTTCATGAAGAATTTTGCACATGGAAAGGTTCAATGTTCTCACTTTGTTTTTTTCTTTATGTCTACAGATCCTCTGCTGTTAAACTAAAGAGGAACATCCATTATCCTTACAAAGAAGGATTACATTTTTCTTACTGTGTTTTTAGTATCTGATTATGGCTGCTTAGACGCCTACAAAAGGGATGTCCGAGATGGGGGGAGGGGATTGAGAGCATATATCCCATGGTCTGTGTGTCTGTGTGTGTGTGTGTGTGCGCGCGTGTGCTTGATTTATTTTGCTTACAATGTTTGTACTAATAATCACGAATCACATGTTTGAAAGGCTTCATAATATATTGGACATGTCCGATCCACATTTTCTATATAATAAAGTGTGTACAGATCCTGGCTGATGAAACCACTGTGTAATATTCTGATCACTAATATTGAAATGCATTTTAATCACTTAAAATGGATATCCTCTTTACTGCACATGTTGTCTTTGGTTGGCTGTAAAACAACTGACTCAAACTGAAGAACTATTGAAGTTTCTGCAGTGGGATGCTCAGAAGTAGTGCTCTGAACTAGTTACATGCAAAAGGAATCCAGGTGTAAAGAATAGCCTTTGTCCATACGTAGGCCATGTGATGAGGGCGGTCGTGGGACGGGTAGTTTTGTTTCTTCACCAAGTTTCGCACTTAGTCAAGCTTGACTTTCTATTTGACTAACTTCTCTGTTTCTGTTTTGAGTTAAACCCCTCCTCCCGCTTCCCCCCCCCGATTTAAATATTTGATGTTGCCGTATGAGTGAGTCTATGTGTGGGAAAGTGAGACCTTGGGTTTTCTCAAACCCCTCTCCCTTGAAGGACATCTCTTTTGCCCTTCAATTTCTAAAACTTAAAACCCCAAAATGGAAACCCTTGTTCAACTCAAAAACAACCCGTTTTTGATGGGTTTGTGTCGCAACGGGCCTCCTCCGGACCTGCAATACGACAACTCATCAGGTACAAGTTTATTTGATTCTCTCGTATTGAACCTTCTGGTATGTCGGGTATGCTGAAGGAAATGTCTCAATGTGATCGTTTTCATTCCCAGAGCTCTTCCGCATTTCTACCTTCGCTCGATTCCCTGCTTCGGGCGTCACGGAGCGTAGTCTGGCGAGGGCAGGTTGGTTCTACATTGGCGTGGGCGACCGCGTGCAGTGTTTCAGGTGTAACGTGACGGCAGAGGGCTGGCAGGCCGGCGACTGTCCAACAGAGAAGCACAGACAGCTGTCTCCCACCTGCTCCTTCATCCAGAGCCTCCCGTCTACTACCAACCTGCTCTCCTCCTCTCACTCCGCCTTCTCCCCACTGCGCATTGCCCCAGCCGTACCAGTAAGATCTGTCAAGGTTTCCTAGAAATATCAGATACATTTCATAGAACAAAGTTTTGACTACACTAGTTGCCTTTCCGACTAACACTAAGCTAGGTGAGGAGAATCTTAATTTTCTTTCCTTTTTCTTGAAGCTTTCTGCTCCGGGCCCAGCGGCTCCTAACCCGGCAGTGAGCCAAGGTGAAGAGCCGGTTGGTTACCTCAACATGGGCTTCTCTGCTCCACCGCCCTCCAGCCCGCTCAGCTCTCGGGGCGTAGAGGACATGTCCCACCAGAGACCAACGTGCCACAACCCCAGCAAGCGCAAAGAGCAGGACCGCCTGGACTCTTTCCACCCGTGGACTCTCTCCATCATAACTCCAAGTGAGCTCGCCAAGGCCGGCTTCTACTACCTGGGCCAGGGCGACCGCGTGGCCTGCTTCAGCTGCGGTGGACAGGTGCGTACCATCGGTGGACCGTGAAGTGAATGGATGAAGAGTGGTTGTCATATCTCTGGACCATCACTGGGGTTTACCAGATGCTTTGGATCAGAGGATTTTGAGATGGCAGGCTGATGGTGACCTCTTCTCACTCACATTTCAAAAGATCCTTTTAGATTTGTTATTGTTATTTAGGTATATTTTTTACCTTACCTTTACATTGGTCTGTTTTATTTAGTCCTGCTGTGTTGCTAAACCCATTACTTATGAATTACATTCATTTTTGGTAGAATTTGTATTCATGCAGTTCTTCGACAGGCATCTGGTGAACAAGTCTTTGTTTTTGGTTTGTTTTTGCAGTTGAGTAACTGGGAGCCAGGGGACAGAGCCGTATCCGAGCACCAGAGGCATTATCCAAACTGCAGATTTGTGCGCGGGGACCGAACCGACAACGTGTCAATAGCCGGGTCTGCGTCCGGAGGACTGGCTTCTCAGCTGTCTTCAGGAGCCGCAGCCCTCAATAATGTGTCTAATCCCGCCATGCAGCAGAGCGATGAGCGGCTGCTCACTTTTGTCAACTGGCCGGCTCGCATCCCTGTCAGGCCGGACCAGCTGGCTAAAGCCGGCTTCTACTACGTTGGTACGGACGATATCAAAGAGACCATCTTTTATTTTAGACACATGTAACGGTTAGAAGGAGGCTGCTTACTGGATTTAAATTCGAGTGGCCAAAACTCTTAAATCAAGGCTAAAGTTTCATTTTCACTTTAATTCCAAACTGAATTTTATTTTTTCTGGATATGTTAATTTGATCCTTCCCGAAGAGAAAAGCATAGATTGTTCCCCCCGAAAGTCCGTAAGTTATTTCCCCCATTTGGGGGGCGTCCACTGCAGAAAGGTTTTCTCTCACTTCAACTGGAAAGTCCTGAATGAAATCATTTGATGGGAAACTTACTACTAGAATACTGAATACAGCATTCAAATAAACGTTTTTAAAATTGGTTGCTAGCAGTCATCTTCAGAGGCATAAGCCAGTTTCTACGAAACCCCCTCTAAGCCACGAGTCATACTGAAAGCCCTTTGTTTTCCCAAAAGGCCGCAACGATGATGTCAAGTGTTTCTGCTGCGATGGAGGCCTACGATGCTGGGAGTCGGGAGATGATCCGTGGGTGGAACACGCTAAATGGTTCCCGAGGTAAACCCTGCCGCATCATTTCTTCTTTTTTTCTGTCTGTTGAAATAAGTTGTTCATTTGTAAACGTGTGTATTCTTGGGCCTCTGGTTCATTTCAGGTGTGAATATCTGATTCAGGAGAAGGGACAAGAGTTTGTTCACCAGATCCAGGCTCGGTTCCCTCGGCTGTTTGAGCAGGTAGATGCAGGCCTCGTAATAATCCGGGACTGGTTCATGCATTTGGCATTAAACAAGTCGTTAAAAATTGCTCAATTGTCTTTTCTTCTCAAAAGCTTTTAGCTAATGGAGACAACAACTCCAGAGAGTTTATTGATCCACCTGGTGAGTTTGAGACAATATCATATCAAGAGAAATACATTTTTTGTGTACAATCAGACATTTAGCCTCATCATAGAAATGAGAAGTCTGACGTGTTAAACACCCCTTCCTCTCAGTGGTTCACCTCGGCCCAGGAGAGGAGCGGTCCGAGGACGCCGTCATGATGAACACCCCCGTGATTAAGTCTGCTTTAGAGATGGGCTTTGAGCGAGGTCTCGTCAAGCAGACGGTCCAAAGCAAGATCCTCACCAGCGGAGAGAACTACAGAACGGTCCAGGAGCTGGTTCTAGACCTGCTGAGTGCCGAGGACCAGAAAAGGGAGGAGGAGCGAGAGATGGTGGCAGAGGCGATGGCATCAGGTACAGCAGAGGGTTTGAGATGAGGACGTCTCTGCCACGTCTTATCGTGAAAATGTTAACACTGTGTTCGTCGCAGCTCTCGCGCCAGTGGAGAATGAATGACTTAGTTTCCTCCTTTTTGGTTTCAGACGGTTTCACCTTTGTGAAGAGACACCAGGCCACGTTGATCCAGCGTCTGAAGAGTGTGGAGCCGGTGCTGGAGCATTTAAGAGAGCAAAACGTTTTGTGTAAGTTTCTGTTCTTTCCTTTTTTCGGTCAGTGACTTGTAATAATACTACAGGTTTTAAACGTTACGTAGCTCCACTGGTCGAAAGGGCCGTTAATTGATTACTTTAGAGTGCATGACTTAGTTTTTAGTATTTTTTTCTTCATGCAGCTCCCGATGAGTATGGCGGTCTGAAGGCCCAGACGTCGGCCCAGCTGCAAAACGGCAAGCTGATAGAGCTCGTTCTCACCAAGGGGAACGCTGCGGCCGAGGTCTTTCGCAACTGGATCCAGAAAAACGACGTGCACCTGCTCAGAGATCTCATGGGTACGTCTCTGCCACAAAGCCACTTTAATGTTTGCAAAGCAACATCCGGTAGGTCAAAAACATTTGAAGGACCACTAAGGAGTTGAACATACCTGTCTAACTAACAAAGGATGACCTTGTATGTCAATCTATATTATCAAATTATGTGACACCCCCTGGGATTATATTTTATACATTTCAAAGTTAAATACTAAAGCTTGATGCATGAAAATATCTGTGCTCTTGTAAACAACAGCTCCTAGGTTTAGCTGTGGTAGAATTTAACTAGGTACATTTAGCTACTATATTACTCTTATTGTTTATGGTACTTGTACTTTAGTCTAGTATTTCTATTTCATGTACTTTTTGCTATTCTGCTAAATTAATGAAATATTTTAATTTTTTTATGCTAATACATTTGTACTTTTACTTTTGAATGAGTATTTATACTCTGCTCGACCACACTAAGACATGTTGTAATGTATTCCACATTTTCAGCCCAATCAAACGAAGCTGCATCACCAAGTCAAGATCTCTCAGGTATTAGGAGACTTTCTGCAAAGTTAATGTTTTTTGCTTGTTTGGAAACTATGAAGCATTTTGTAACTTCATTTATTTAATATTGACCCCTTGATGTAAAATCCCTAAATATAAATATTACTCAACATTTATTTCTGTATGGACTGCTGATTAAGGCAATGAGACATAAGAGGTTTTTTTAATGTAGAGATTGAGACTGATGTTATCAGTTTTGTTTACCACGGGTCCTCTGACGACATCCAAAGAACGCCAAACCGCAAATAAGACGAGCAGGAATGCACGTGTTGAAAACTAATGAATCCATTTCTTTGCAGACCTCCCCATGGAGGAGCAGCTGCGGCGCCTGCAGGAGGAGCGTACCTGCAAGGTGTGTATGGATAAAGAAGTCAACATTGTCTTCATCCCATGCGGACATCTGGTGGTGTGCAAAGAGTGTGCGCCGTCGCTACGGAAGTGCCCCATCTGCAGAGGCCTGGTTAAAGGCACGGTCCGAACCTTCCTCTCATAACCAGGATCCCTCGTTCTCACAGCAATGTGATTGAATGTAAGCAATATGGTGCAGGTTTATATACAGCTGACAGACATGACATCCATTGATGTAAATGGTAGTCATATTTCTGTTATTACCTCTGTTATCATTATATTTACTGATACTATTATTAGTTTTCTTTTCTGTTTCTCCCTCTCCCTCTCTTAGGGATATTCATAAGTATCCATTCAACCCTTAAACCACAATATGATCACCTTTTTTATTAAAAAGTTGAGTAGAACTCAATGGTGTCTTCTGGTCACTTAAAAGGAGAATATCTGGTTCACCTTGAAGCTGAGCCCACCTCGTGGCGAACTCTTTACACCACAGGAACTTGTGGCAATTATACCATTGTATTGATAACTTCTCATCTGGCATATGCAACTCCTTTAAGACTGGCACTTGCTAATGTGACCCAGGCTCACGAAATAGTAATACCAATGAAGATGCACATGAGCGTTCAGATGCCTATTTAACGTAACCTCCATGCACGGTCTTAATAGTATTCTTTAACGGGTCGATCAGCCAGAGAAGTCTCTAAATGAGCACCCCCCCCCGTATCTTTCACTTTAATCTGATTGTAGAACGCTTGATTAACTCACTGTTAATGAGTTATATTTGTTCAGTAAATACATGGATTATGATTTCATACATTTTCCATGTTGTCATTTAAACATGTTGAATTTATTTTCCGTGACCGGTGTTATTTCTGGTCAATTGTAACCTGTTAGGCAGTTATCCCTGACTGATTTGCAAAAATAAACTTTACGAAATCCATTTAATTGATATATTTACTAATGAATGCTTGACAAACATGTAGTGTAGACCACCATTTTATGAAAATATTCAGCATCAATATTGTTTTAAAACATGAGCCACAATACCAGAAAATGGACATTTTTTAGTCTACATTTGCGACGCCATTTAGTAAATACAGACGTGTTCTGGTGCATTTGCTCAGTCATAACACCCAATAATTCTGCTTGAACAAGAAATTGTCAACATTCAGCAAAGCAATCTAAACTTTGCACCACTATGTGCTCTGTAGCTGGCGTTCTTAGGTTTTTGTCAATACCATCATAAAAGGCGTGGATTGTGAGGGAGACCAAAACCGCCAATACTTGAAAGTGATCATGCTTGGATATAAATCCAATGGACAACACAAAACACAGCAACATTGAATTAGTTGTAGTTTATACAAATATTTATTTTTCCACAAGTCTCTTCAGCCACAGTTTAGATGATGCCAATCTGTAAAGAAAAGCAGACATTAGTTTTAGGATCTTCAGAGAATGCCTCAGTCTATGGCATCAGTGGTTCCTTTGAATGAATCATTGACATAAAAAAAAAAAAAAAAAATCACTTTCACAGTACTCACGACTTTTATAAAAATGTCCCTGCTTTAGTCTGTTGAATTATTGAAGACTCACCTTGTTTGCAACATCCAACGCATCATAATCTGGTGCGAGACGAACGTACGCTTTCTTCTCACCATCAGGCCTGAATAATGAAAGGTGTAAGTAAAATAAACTTAAGTTTAGGTTCACAAGAGAAAACAAGCCATTTATGGACCTTTGTTGACCATTTTGTAAACAAATTGATGTGTATAATAAAAGCAAACATGTACGGTTTGGAAAGAAACATCAACTCCTGATTCCAACAAACTCAGTACAGTGAGCCAAAATACAGATTGCTGTTTTGGCTTGAATTATAACAAGATTAAATAGCAGTACAGGAAACTAATTGCAGGGCACAATACTGCCATCAGTCCAGACAGCAGGTTCAAGATTTCTACCTGATGAGTGTGTTGACTTTGGTGACGTCAATGTCGTACAGCTTCTTGACAGCGTGTTTGATCTGGTGTTTGTTGGCCTTGACATCCACAATGAATACAAGCGTGTTGTTGTCCTCAATCTTCTTCATGGCGGACTCTGTTGTCAAGGGGTACTTTATGATGGCATAGTGATCCAACCTGCAGAAAAACCAGACGTTAATAAATCATCAAAACCGTTCTACCGATCAGACCAGTTCAAATATTTTATAACATATGCCCTTTAATACGTAAAAATAATACAAGACAAGGATCTGCGGTGCATCAGTAGATTATTAAGCTGGAATCATACTTATTCATACTTTGATCGCATCTAACATCATGTGCACCAGATGGAATCTTTTTAAATCAGCATGCAGTCACTGCAACTCACTTGTTCCTGCGAGGAGCACTCTTGCGGGGATACTTGGGCTGCCTGCGCAGACGAAGGGTTTTAGGGCGACGGAAGGTGGGAGAAGTCCTGATCATCTTCCTCCTCTGGCTGTGTACACCCTTGAGCACAGCCTTCTTGGCCTTCAGAGCCTTTGACTTGGCCTCAGTCTTGGCCGGGACAGCTTAAAAACAAAGAAATTCATTTTATTGGACTTTGTCTAGTAACTGTTGATGCGTCACCAGATGGTGAATTGATGGTACATCACCGTGGAGAGGTTTAAAGCTACATATGACATAGTAATTTACATGGCGAACTGAAATCCAGAGTATTCCAGAACACAATGAATCGACAATTAAATTTAGAGCGGAGCAAATTTTACAACCATCCAGAGATGTCATTCACAAGTTGTGACAGCAGTTTCCCTTCTGTATGCAACTACCGACTAAATCGGCGTGATTTCAATGGGTGAGTAGCATCATCGAATCAATGAAAGGGACTGATGAGCACTAATTACTTCCAATATGCAACGAATATGTTACGCAGTTTACTCCACTCACACATGGCTAGCACTAGCGGCAAAAACTAAGATATTACGTTAACCTCTAATCTATAACTCACGAAATTGCCAACGTTTAAAATGTTAACTAAAAGTTCTCCAATTTCAACTTAAAACTGCCATCTTAATCAGTCACGTTTTAAAACACAGCTGAGGCGCGGCTAATGCTAACATCACAAAATTGCTACCACATAAGCGTACAAAATATCTAACGTTACGGTTAGTGCGACGTGTTACTTAGAATTAACTAGCCGTGAACGTAACACATTACGATAGAACACCAGAGAGAATAGTGATTGTAGATTTGTGAGAGAAGTCAAAGCTAACATTAGCGTAGCATCACGTTCTAGGAAACGTAACATGCCGGAGAGACGGTCCGGGTTTTTGGCCTCTTTAGACGGTTTCGAGCAATAAACTACGTTTACACAAATCACCTTCAGTCCATCATTGTATTTCGGGGACGTCTGACTTGTCTTATATGATATATTAATGTAAACTATAGGAATAATTCATTCAAAATCATGAGATTGACAAACCTTCCTTCTTCACCTTCGGTGCCATGTTGAGAAAGGAAGGCTAAACGGGGTTTCTTGCAGTATAATGCATGGGCGAGATCTCACATCACAGGTATCGCGATAGTTAAGAAAGCAGGGCTGAATCATCCTCCCCATAGATTCACCACGCCTTCACACGTGATCTTATCAGAGTTTATTCGTAAATAGATTAACATATTATATATATTATTCTAATCTTTTACCTCAATCACATTTGTAGTGGGGCAACCGTAATGTAGAACGATAACTAATGGTAACAATCATTTTTAGAAAAATGTTTTTCTTGTCAACTTGCGTGAAGTTATTCCAAAAGCTACTTGAAAATATAACACCAGATTTAATTTTGTTGAATCAATAACACTATGATAGCATATATTTGACAGATGGGAGTACTGTACATGAGTACAGTATGTAGTGCTTTGGGTTTTTTATTCTACTAAAATACTAATTTTGAAAACCAAAAGCTTTTTTTGTGCCAACTACACAACAATCATGGGTATGAAAAAAAAGTTATTTGTAAGATGCAAAATCATCTACAGTAAGTCAGTTAACATATGAAGTAGAATTAATCCTGTCAATATGGAAAATATTAGGTCACTAATCAGTTCAGTGGGTCTGGAGGGTAATGTTATGCAATTGTTGGGTTTTGTTTAATCACCTTTATCAGAACTGCCTTCGATTAGTTTGATTTACATCGTGTTTAGTATTCACTAGTCTAGCTTGTTAGTTAAATGTAACCCTTGAATAGTCATTAAAGCCTTAATATCTATTACATAACATGTAATTTAGCTGACGCTTTATCCAAAGCGACATTGAAGAGTCCTTGTACAAATGTTCAGTATGTTACAAGTTGCAGGTGAGCTAATAAACCGTAATGAAACAAAACATATATAAACTGTTTATTTTATACTCTGATGATACAAAGCACAAATGTGAAGATTTGCAGTAAATAAAAAAGAAATCCACGTCCTTCTCATCAGTCTTCCACGCTCTTCTGGTCCCCTTGTGGCGCACTATTTTTTTTCACCTTTCTCCTGGTAGACAGAGTTGAAATAATGTTAATGTTAGATAAAAAGTCACCTTCTGTGGTATAAAACCAAACCAGGTAGACAATGAGACTTTATGTATATTACCAACTTTCATTTGGTTCTGGTTTAGACTTTTTCAATAGCACAATAAAATATGAGCACATGAGTTTCTCCAAATGATACACAGTCTTTACTTTTTTAATTTGGCTCCAGGGGAATTTGAAGCCGTCTTAGGAGACAACTTCTTCTTTTCACTCCTGTTGTCTTTCTGTGTTTTTTTTCTTCCCTTCAGCTCCTGTCCTCTTGTCTTCTTCTCTCCTTGCTGCTGCTGCACTGCTGCTGCTGCTTGAGGCCGCTTTTCCCCTTTCTGCTTCTCTCCTTTCTGTCTTTTAATCGGTGCTTTGCCTTTGTTCTTCATTAAGAAGCGAGGAGTTGTGCAAATGGTGGTTCTTGTGGGGGGTTTCTTCTCAAGTTTCCGCTTCACTTTACTTAACACAGACAAATACAGATGGAATCAACCATATTAACCAAACAGATCACATCACCAAAAAATATAGGCCTTAATTGTACAAGTTATTGTGGAACTTCAAACTCACTCACCGGTCTATTTTCTTTAAGCCAATCATGTACTCGGGTACAGGACAACCAGCTTGTTGTATGACTTTAGCGATGCTGTTCGAGAGATGCAAAGACAAACATACTCTAAATGTCTAAATTGCAAAACACTTCACACTTTTGGGAGCTTGCAGTAGTGAATGTCTGGAGTCCATGTTGTTTCTGTCCTGTATTTTGTGTTGTGACCGTATTGTATTCTATTGTTTGCATGTTTTACATCCACGTACCTGCGCAGCAGCGGCTTGTCGTCCTCTGTGAAGAAGGTGATGGCCTTTCCCTGATGGCCAGCTCTACCAGTCCGACCTGTGGAGCAGCACATTGAATACTTAGCAAGGGAACTGATGCACTCACGCATGAGACAACACACCATTACATTACAAATTAACTATTATTATTATTATTATTAATGAAGGTAGATTATTTTCTTTTATCATTTGCTTGTAAAATGTCAAACCAACATATACATAAGACAGGTTTGCCCCCCCAAAAAAAGTATTCAGTTGACAATTACATGAATTTAAAAAAAACAAGCAAATATTTTGGTCGGTGGAACTGTGACCAGCCAACATGTTAGTCTTTTTACATAATAAATGATTAATCTTTAGCAATATAATAAATGCCTATTTGTCAGATGATTAGTCAATGGTTTTCAGCCCACAATAGCTTGATCGTATTGTCAAATGATTAATAATACATAAAAGCTAACCAATTCGGTGGACGTACTCCACAGCGCTGGTGGGGAAGTCGTAATTCAGCACGAGATTGACTCCTTTGAAGTCGATTCCTCTGGCCAGCAGAGCTGTGCAGATCAACACCCAAATTTTTCCGGACCTGAAACTGTGCACGACGTTGTCTCTCTGAAACACAAACGCAACAGGCGACGGTTACACAATACAGTTGTGCTTCAGCGACACAGCGAGGACCTATTGTACAACATATGGAGCGCCTGTGCGTACCTGCTGCTGTGTGCGGTCTGCGTGGATCACGTCCACATTGATGCCTTCGTACACCAACTCGTGGAAAAGCTCCCGCGCTCGGTCTATTGACTGCACGAACACCAACATGGGAGGCAGGAAACCCTAAAAAAAAAAAGGAATGTAGAAAATCTAAGTCAACATAGAAAATGAACATGTAATTATAAAATTACTCTAACTTTCTTTTCTTCAAACAACATGAGATTTCTGCAGAGTGCTTACTTTTTGGATGATTTCCCTCATGGCCAACAGTTTGCCGTTTTCCGTCCCGACAAACAGCAGCTCCTGTTCCACCGTCTCAACGGCTGCGTTTCTGAGGAGAAGATACATTTTAAGTCATTCATAACGTGGGGTAAAGATTATAGTAATCCATCAAATTAAGAAACTCCACATGTGGATCTTTACCTCCGTCCAATGTTGACGGACACCAGGTTGTCGAGGTTCAGACGGCACCACTGCTCAACATCAGGCGAGCATGTGGCGCTGAAGAAAGCCCTGCGCACCTTTGATCCAGAACACGCCAGAAAAACTGCGGCGAGCTGTTCCCTGAAGCCGGTCTTTCCGTCCTCAAATAGCTTATCGGACTCGTCCACAATCAGCCACTCCACGCTGATCGACGGCAAAAGACCACAATCAAGAAAGAACATTTTTATTTGCAAATGTTTTAAGAGTAAGCAAATGCATTTTGATGGTTTACAAGCAACATTTGCAGGAAACGGTAAAGAACAATTGCACACAGCAGAATATTCAGTGTTACCCGCTGAGGTCGAGAGCTGGAGGATCCTGCTTGAGAAGGAAGACGAGTCTGTTTGGAGTGCTGACGAGTATATCTACAAAAATGTAAGGGGTGTAACAGGTGTTAGATAAAGACATCTCACCTTTTAGATTTTAATTCTTCTATCAAAGCCAGTGTCATTTCTTACCGTATTTTTTGTTGGACTGTGGTCCATACTTCTTGGCTGCCAGAGACGCTTTGTCTATGATGTGAACTCTAAATCCGACTCCCTCCGTCATGCGCAGCAGCTCTCTGTAGGTCTGAACACAACACGACAAAGCCCACGTCAGAAATGCACGCAAATGTGTGATCATTTCCCAAAAGGTGGGTGAAACTCCCACTGTATTCAATAGGGATTCAAACATGGAAGCTCTTCACATCGGTTCTTGATATCGAACAACATGCTGTATGTCATGAATTAAAGATGGACATCTTGATAAAGGATAATGTTGAACGTGGGCAATAGTTAACTGTGTGTCTGTTTTGTACCTGGTTGGCCAGCTCTCTGGTCGGGGAGATGACCACAGCTCGGAAGCCCAGGTTCGCCGGCTGCCGCAGTTGTGCGAGCATCGGGAGACAGAAAGCCAAAGTCTTCCCTGACCCGGTGGGAGCGCAGGCAAGGAGCTCCCGACCCTGGCCGACAAACCAGACACATGCAAATCCTCAGGTGACCACCGTTTGTACGTTACTTAGCAACCACTCACTGTGTGTATGTGTGCGTCTTCTACACTCACATGCATCATGAGCGGTATCGCCTGCATCTGTACTGGCGTCGGCGAGTTGAGCCCTGCGTCTTTGAGGTTCTGAAGGATGCGAGGGATGAGACTATACTCGGCCTGGAGCTCCTCAAACGTGCACAGAGGGTCTGGAACGTCGCAGCCGTGCACGTTTATACGGTGTTGAGAGCGAATGCGATTGATCTTAAATCAAAACATAGAAAATGAATTTACAAAAGGACAGTGATTCAGAACATTAATATGATTCTTATATTTGTCAGAGTCACATCAAATCTCTTCATTGTTTCCTTGTGGACCGAGTTGTTCCAGTATACGGACCTTCTCCTGATGAAGGTGCTTCAGCCTCTTCAGTGAGGATTTCTCCTTCCCATCACTTGGCAGGTTGGAGATCTTTCCGTCTAATGAGGTGGTCCAAGTGATGCCGCTCCCCCACGTGTCTTCAGTCAGACAGAAGACAGCAGTAAGTCTCTGACATGGACAGCTACTAACACTTTGTGTCAATCACATAACACTGACTGATTAGCAACAATGCCCACACTGATTTTTTTCTATGTATCAAATATGTGAACATTTCAACCCACCTATACATAACCACAGTCAGCTGCTAATGAGCTGTAAAATTATCAGTTCAGCAGGAAAGAGCCAAATCCTTTACCTTCAACCTGGTTGCTTTTCGTTCTTTTCTTTTCTTTGCTCACGTCTTTCTCTTCATCCCGTTGCTTCCTTTTTCCTCCTGCTTCCGGAGCTCCACTTTCACTTCCCACTTCATATTCTTCATCATCATCAGCAGCAGCAGCAGCAGCGTCGTCGTCGTCATCTTTATCCAGTCCTACAGAACTACTCTGGGATCTTCTAGTTAGTCCTGTGCCAAAGTAATCGATCCCAGAAAAGGCATCTGGGGACGCTTCCCCTACTTGAGATCTGGCGACCTGTGAAATAAAACATGTTTAGTATTTATCAGAGTAAAATTAATTGTGAGATTAATGTGTGAGAGAGAGTGACCACAATAGGCAGCGAATTTCTTCATTTAAAACACACAGCCTCCGAAAAATACATTGGAAAAACATGAGTGAAGCCCACTTTCACGCGAGTGGGAATCGGGGCGAGGGGAAATACTTTAAAACCGTGGCACGTGTTTGGAAATCGATCGTTATCTTCCACCCGGTACATCGTTAGCTACGCGGTGCGCCGCTTACCTTAAACCGAGCAGCGTCTTTACCGAACCGCTTCAGGTCAAACTTCGCTCCAGCGCCGAGTTTTCGAAACAATTCAAAGGCGTCCATTCCTGCAGCAGCGTGTTCGAACCGCATACAGGCGTCACTCGTCAACATCCGGGTCCTTCACCGGCAGCTCTTCCCTCCCGCTCTGAACCTTAGTGCCCCCTGTCGGCCACGTGCAACACGACCGGTGTGAAACATGTCTGACCGTGACAGATAAAATCTGTCTTCGACATTATATATGTTACAGAATCAGATTGAAAATAGTATTTAAATGTATTATTCTTTCCACATATTTTCAGTCACCGGTGGGCAGTGTCTGTACATTTTCCCTATAAAGCCTATAAAACGAGACAAGAGAAAAGGTTTGCATCCACATCAAACCTACAACAATGCTCATTAACTGTGGTAAGAATTCAAAATAACTATAGGCTATGGTTTAGATCAGTGGTTGTAAACCTTTTTTTTAGTTATGGACCCCCTTTTTCAGCTGAGTGCCCCTTAATTAAACCCAGATTTATGGATTCACCAAAATAATATCACCTTATGAAAGCAGCCATTTCCTTGTGGTTTCATTTTTTTTATTCATTATGTATTTTTCTACAAAAAGCAATCATGACATATTAATACTTAGATAAGATAATTGTATCTTATATTTGGAATTATGTTTAAGTAATAAATATTTGTTTGTTAGTTCAGTATCTTCAGTTTCTTCCAAGGGAAACTATTAATGTTTTTGTCTATATCTGACTAATTTACTTGGGGCAACAAATATCTGTTAAACATTTACAAATGGTCATAAGAATGTGATTCCACTGAAAGTCAATAAACCGTTGTCATTCAGCCTTAATACTGAATTCTGTCATTCTTTTCACAATACACATTTTAACTAAATGTGTGCAGGTGCAAAAAGATAAATACAAATTTAAAACTTGTAAATAGCTTTTAATGTGCGGTAACAGTCCAAAGTTTGAACACACCTTATAATTCAATGGGTTTTCCCCGAATAGCCCTATTAACTGTATATAACCACCAACCCTGTCTCTGCACAAAACTGATTGTCTAAAACACATTAAAGGGATGAAATTCCACAAATTAACTCTTGACACACCTGTTAATTGAAAGGTGACTAGCTGATCAAATGCCAAGAGTTTGCAAAACTGTCAAAGCAAAAGGGGGCTTCTTTTAAGAATCTAAAATATAAAACCATTTTTTTGTTTACCACATAATTCCATGTGTTCCTTCAAAGTTTTGATATTATTTTACAATGTAGAAAAAAGAAAAAAAAAAAAAACATTGAATGGAGAACTGTGTGTCCCAACTTGAGACTGGAACTGTACATAAAAGAATGTCATCATGACATCGCTGTGCATAATTTCCATTCCGTCACCAGTTAGTCGGCGGTTGGATGTTTCTCATGTCCAACTGAGGAAGCCGTCTCAGTGATTTCAGATAGCGTTCTTAAACCCGTAGCTGGTTATTATCCTTCACAGCTCTTCACAGGTCTTTAACAAATCCTCCAGGAAATGAACCACCATCTCTTTACTTGTCGCCTCGTCTCCTCCCCCCTCTCCTTCGGCCTCTAACTCCTTAAGTCTGTTTAGGGTCCGCTGCAGACCTCCTACTCTCTGTTGAGGCGTAAAACTGTCCCCCCCTGTCTCCTTCTCTCCCTCGGCCCCCTCTCCTCCTCCTTCCTCCGCTCTGAGATATCGGATCAAATGCTCTTTGATGCCCCTCCCCTCCTCCCCGGCCAGCGATGCCCCGAGGGAGGGCATGTCCTGGGACTGGCTGACACTGAGCAGGTGCAGGAGAGCGTGGGAGAGCGTGTGCCGCAGGCTGGCACTGTAGCGGTACTCGAAGAAGTCGTTTGTGTCTTCGCTATTCTCAAGCGCTTTAGCGAGGGAACGCCACACGCAGATGAAGCGCTCCGGGTCCCCGTAGCAGCCGCGGTTGGCAGGGATTGCCAAGGCCGCGGCTGACTTGATTCGCACCTTGAAGTTCTTACAGGAACTAACGACGTGGCAGAGGGAGGAGAACGCATCACAGGACCACGGGGCGGAGTCTGTGAGGAGGAAAGCAATCAGAAATTCATTTTTAGCTAAAACAGCCCTTTTAATTCTGATCCATCGCCGTTGGGGACATTCTCCACCGTTACAAAATCCTCACGGGTCGGACATGGGAAATGTGATTGGACATTTGGACACTGTGTAAAATTTGGTTCTTGCAAGGTATTTAATGGAGATTCCAGGAAGTCACTGTGTCTGGTTGAGAATTATCACTTCAGAGTTGATTCTTTAAATACACCAGTTTTGTTCATTATGATTAGAAAAAAACGATACTTTAATTCGTAATCATACTTATTAGACACTATACTGAGCTACGCTATCCAACTTAATCCTGATTGGAATCATGGTCCCAAGGCCAGGTTGACATGTTCATACCGGAGGCAAACACAATCAGATGCCGAAACACTTACCGAGTGGCAGGGCCGGGTTTCTGAAGGCATTCCCCAAGGCGTAACAGGCATTCCATCGGACCTTCATAGTGGCCTCTGATTGCACGGTTTTAACCAGTGCAAGAACTGCATCCTCCAGCGGGCGTTGGAACGCAGACCGGGTCAGCTGACTTTGACGCAGGAAATGAAGCAGATTCCCGATTGCTCGCACTGCATTAGACTTTACCTGGGAGGTGTGGGGGGAGGGGGGGAAGCAAAGAGAGAGACAATCAAAAAATACATACTTTATCAGTCGTACTAATAAAGTCAGCATTCATTCACATCACAACGGCACATTCTCACACATACAGAACTATCTTCTCCTGTTCTAGCAGAACAAAATGTGACAAGAGACGTAACAAATGTGAGTGTTTGTGCGCTGCTCGTTTGTGTTGAAGGGTGACAGCTCTCACCCGGTCTTTGTCGGCTGATGCTCGGGTGGCTGCCTGCAGCATCTTGAGAAGCAGCATGTCTGATAACTCTTCTTGGAAATCCACACCAACAGTCTCCCTGATGAAGAGATAGGAGGTGAAACGATTACAAAAAAATAATATATGCATTGAATACTCCAATTATACTGGTTTTCTACAAATGAGAAAATACCTTTTTATTAACATCTTGAATAAGTGCTGCATGCCGTCATCTTTTTTTTAATGTTGGATGTCTTTATTTTACGGTCAGAAAGATAGATTCTGAGTGTTCTGAGATTCTGAGTGTTTTGTGTCCATGTTTTTCTTACATATTAGCGATAAGTGTGTCTGTCAGGTTGCCTAGCGACCAGGCAGCTTTGGCACGAACGTTTGGAGACCGATCATCAAGGGCAGCGAGGATAGTGTTTGCCGTATCGGCCACGAACATCACATCCTGAAAAGAGAAATGTGTTTACCAGATCCCCGTAGGGCCAGAAACATGTCACGGCCCCATTGTGCCGGGCGGAGTCCGTACCTCTCTGAGACAGGGGAACAGTATGTATACTCCCAAAGCCCTGACAGCTGCCGTCTTCACCAGATAGTTCTCACTGTAGGTCAACCCCAGTAGCACGGTGACGCACATCAGCTGGGTCTTGTCCTTGAAAAACAACACCAAACGTCACACCCGCCGATCCATGAAGCTCAACGTTAGCCGTGAAGAAACAACGGCGATGAACTCACAGGCAGCTGCGCAAAGGCCTGCGGCAGGATTGAGGAGAGCGCGTCGCAGGCGCTGGTCTGCAGCGTGGGATGTTGCTCACTCTGCAGCGCTCCGTTCAGCGGGCCGCTCAAAACGTCCGACCAAAACACCACCACCTGTATAACGCAGGGTCATTGAAATTAAAAGTTTATAATCGCTGCAGTATACAATGGTCATATCAACCAACAACACTGGGAATTTAGAAAATATGAGAAAAACATTCTTGGTGTCTTAAACTGTTAAAAGAAACAGCAATAGGACTTGAGGAGCAATTCATCCAGACGGGTGTACCCAGATACAGTGTAAATGCCGTACTAAGACAGTTTGTACTCACTTGGCTCATGGGCACCCTCACGGCCTCATTGTTCTCTGCTCTGTACTGCTGGATTATTCCTGTGCCCAACTCCTCTAGCAACTGCATACACATGTGACATACATATCAGTGCTCCTTCATGCAGTTTTCATGATGAAAATAAGATAGTGATAAGTGGTACAGATGGAGAAAGAAAAACTAGAGGGCGTTACCTTTGTGCCGTGTAGTTGTATGGAGGGGTCCGTCTCCCGAACGCAGCGTGCGCTCACCTGCCCAATCTCACACAGACTTGCTTGTGCTAGCGAGAAGTAGCCACGTACTAGGTGGGACATGACCTGAAACACACAGGACACAATTATAAAAATACAAAAGAAAACACCCTCAGCTATTAGAAAAGTCTGTGTTTTGTCTCTGTCTGTCTCCCACCTGTAGAGCTTCTAGTCGGACGGGGGAAGGCTCTAAAGCGGCACCTGTTCCCGCTCCCTCACTGTCTGATTGGTCCTCTCTAGGCTGAGTCACCAGCGACAGACAGAGCTGCAGCAGCCACGGTGGAGCGCTGCTGTCCACCTCCTCCGGCGTGCGAACCACCTGAGGGGAGTGTGTGCGCGAGGTGCGCAGGGAGGGTTTGACCGGCGTGGGGGGCGTAGACATTCCGTCTCGTCGTCTCCAGCTGAGAGCAGAGTCCTGTTGGGTGAATGAGCCACTGCCGCTGCTGCTGCTGCTGCTGCCCTCCGGCTGTTGGAGGAGGAGCTGGACCTCTGGGAGAGGAGCTTGAGTCGTCACCAGAGCGCCATAAAGTGTCAGGACTGACACGCGGACATTTACATCTGGAGAGAGAGAGCATTTCTGTTGAAAGAAAACCAACCAGTTCCCTGAAAAGGAGACATGCTGTGTTCATCTTGAGGTTCAGACTTGGGTTTGGGATAAATGTTTACATGCAGCAATGTAAAATATAATAATACAAATAGTCCATTGATTGTTTATATTTGACTTCACAGCCGTAGGAAATTTACGTTGGCCGTTTATAAATGTTTGTGTGTAGTTTTCTGAGAGCACTGACAAAACACAGACCTCTGTTGCGCACATACGGACGCATCTGCTTCCAGAGCGGGCTGAGCAGACCAGGCCTGAGACGGTGGTAGGGAGCGTTCGCCACCAGGTAGGCCAGACACTACAAGGCGGGAAAGACGGCGACAAGTCGTTAGAACCACTTCCATTTTGGTCCGACCACGTGGTTGTTTCAGATAACTCCAACTGCATGTGTGCAGGTTGTCAAAATATGTTCCCAGGTTAACAGGACTTTTACATTTCATATATTTGCTAAAATTGCACAGTAAACCTTAAGCCGTCCCACTTCACATAACACAGGGCAGTCGAGTTGGGAGTGTTATTGTACCTTTATGACCTGCGTGAGGGTCTGAGGCGAGGTCTCGGCCAGCAGAGCCAGAGTGAGGGCGCGGTGCAGTTCTCTGACGGCGGCAGCCAGCAAGAAGGAGAAAGGGGTGTAGGACTTACGAGGCGACGCCGTATCTTCAGCCACAGCCAGGAACTGACGCGAGCCGTCCAGCATGGACGACAACACCTGAAGCGCACACGCACGCACCTTGTGGGAGAGGAGAGAGAGTGGATGCTACGGGCAACAATGTCCAGGGAGCACTGCAACGCGCACGGCGGGGAGTTGTACCTTGGGCGAAGGGTCCTTTAGTATGATTGTTACGAGAGTGAGAGGCGGCGGCCCCCCAATAGGAGAGTCTGGCATGAAGGAGGACCAGTACCCGTACAGAGTCCTCTTCTCCACGCCTTTCACTACCGCTAGCAGGCAGTGCAGAGCGCCCTGACGTAGACGACCGTTGTAAAGTCTGAGAGAGAAAAATACTGCAGTATGATTTCTCACTTGTCCGTGCAGTATTTGGAAGGAGCGGGAATAAAACATCCATCCATTTTATAATCCTTTTAAAAATGTATAATGTTTATTTTCTTTCCTTGAGTATAACAAAGCAATACATGCACAAAAAAAGATAGAGGTGACATGGAGGGACATGTGCAGCGCTTTTCAGTACCTCAATTTGCTCTGTGCACTGCCTTCTGGGTCGGAAAACTCGGAGTCCGAACTGGCTCTTTTCCAGGACGGGTAGAAAGACGGGCCAGATGGTTTAGACAAAGACTCTCCCTCACCTCTGCCTCCCTCTCTTCCCCCTCCCTTCTGAAGAGCAGGCACTGTGTCCCGGATATCCTCCTCTCCATCGTCCACTCTGCTCTCCTCAGAGCTGGTCTTCTTCCCCTTTCCTTTGGATTTCCTCTTTTTATTCTGGGGAGAGATGTTTGAAGCATTTTAACCCCAAAAAATCATGCCGCCTTATTAAAAGTTATACCAGAATAAATTACGCGTGTCTTACTCCTGAGGTTTTGCCTGACACAGGGGCATCTGATGGTAGCTCAGAGGATTTTGCTAGTTCAGCGGGTTTTGGGGCAGAGAGACCCTCATACTGAGGAAGAGGTGCCGGGTAAAGCACGGTCGGCCACTCGACGCTCACGCCTGGAGTTCCCTGGAACATGAGCCTCTGCAAAAACCGGTTTCCAATTATTATAATATAAACTCACATTTGGTTTTTGAACAGGACAAAAGGACAACCAATAATAATGCAAAAGAAAATGTTGCACCTTTAGTGCAGCCAGCACAGACCCGAGCTCCTCTCCAACAAATTTCCATTTCCCACCTGAGAGACAACACTGGAGTCCCTTCAGTGCGGCTTGGATCACCTGCACCGAGGACATAAGCGGTGACGGTGAGGTGAGGACATGGGTGAACTATGATTAAATGCCCCTCCCCGCCAACCCCCTCACTCCCTCTTAATTGGAATTTTTATAACTAACCACTACTCCGTACCATGCAGTAGAAGAGCTCGTCAATGTTGGGAGGTTTGGGGGACTGCAGTGTTTTCAGGAAGACTCTAAAAGACACACTTCTGTACTGATCATCCAAAGAAGCCTGACCAGGGATCCTGGAGAGAAACACCCCACCGCAGAAACAATTACAGGCACGACTTTAAACCCGCAACATCACCGGATCTTTAACAACTCCTTGTACAGTAAGTATAGCTGGCTCTTTAGTGACTATATGCTCCATTATGTTTAGCAAGTAGTTTTGGCAAAAACATTTATGACATTACCTTATGACCTTATAAGATTGAGCTTTAAATAAAGATCACAATTTCTGGCATAGAATAGTCTCTACAGACTGGGTGAACATACTCACAGACAAAATGGACTGGCTAAATACAGAAGCTTGCAAAGGCCTACCTCAGACAGATGTTGGCCATGCAGGTGAGAGCAACATGGCGTAACTCTATATTTGGCTGTGATGGAGAACTATACCGCAGGAGGACTCCATCTTCTCCCAGCAGGTCACGGAGATGCTATGAATAAGAAAGATCTTTATTAGAAATATTCAGCCGTTGTCGTACATTGCACTACACATAAAATGTGTAAAAACGTTCTACCTTGTGGCACTGCGGTCCATTGCCGTACACTATAGTAGACAGTGCCAGGAGGACATCCGAGTGTGTCCATGTACTGCAAACTTTCAGTGCACTGGTGGTATAGTCTAATAATACATCCAAGGTCCGCTCTTCCATTATTACCTTAAGAAACAGTGAGAAGAGAAGCAGGGAAAAAAAGGTACAGCAGATTTCTGGGGATTAACGTTCCATCCTTGGTCAGGATATATGTGCACAATACTGTTCCAGCTCTACTGTTAAGGAAGGTTATGTGTTACCTTTAGCTGATTGAGTAGATGATGAACCAGCTGACACAGTTTGATGACTAGATGCTCTTGACTCAGCGGCACAAGACAGCTGACATGTTTCAGCAGACTGCACACATCCTGAAATGCATAGCAAAGAGGCTGAGCACTGCAGAAACACTGAACATCACATCATGCTCAGTTATTTGGTGAATTATTTGAACATAATCATTAGGTATCATTGGGCTGGGGTGTTATCAGGACGCTGCATGACGACTGTCAGTGAGCGTGATGTGTCGCTGACAAGTCACGTGGCGGCTAGTTGCTACGTCATGGCTGGTTGCCAAGGCTTATGATTTGGGAATCGTGGTACCGGCTGGTTGCTATGTTGCTATGTGGTTGGCAGGATACTTTCACAATTGACCACCTGGATTTAAACCAATTGGCTTAACTAGCCCTCATCATTTGAGTTTTCACTGAAAGGTTTTCGGTTAAACGCAGCCGTCACCTTGAGGTCAAAGAGCTCGAGTTGCCGTTACCTCTGGTCGGATGTTGACGTTGGGCTCGAGAGTTTTGTTGTAGTTTTCGGACAAAAGCTGGTCCAACAACAGGTTGAGCTCCTCCTTCAGCTGGCCGGAGTCGGCTCGAAGCGCCCGGAGCTTCGCCGCGCAGCGGGAGAACTGTTTCTCCACGTCCGAAGGCGAGCCGAGCCGCCAGCCGTCGGGCCCGAGCGGGGTGAACGGCGCGGCCTCCGCGGACAGAACCACCGCGGGGAACACGGGGACGACGCCGCGGCTCGCGCTACCCGCAGCCGACGGTGCGGGTTGAGCCGCCATATTTTTTGGGATCCCGGAAGTGTTTTCACTCGTTTGGTGGTTGAGTGTTTCGAGCTCGACATCCAAATGTGAGGCTCAGTACTGCCGCACAGTGTGAAACAACATCACCGTCTCCTTCACCAGCAGGTAGAGATTTATTAAAGTAAAAACCATTTTAGAATATAGCATCGCAAAAATAGCGATTGAAATTATTTAAATGATAAATTTCCCCTTTAACCTATTCAATCGTTTCCCCTGAATACATCCATTGTCAAGCAGCACATAGAAATGGGCATTGTACGAGATGTGTTGAATCTATAAATATAAAATTAAGTGTTTAACATTTTAATGTTGCTGCTCACCAAATTTTGTAAATTTTGAAACATTTGGATTTAGAAAGTAGCTTAAACCGTCAGTCATAATCATTTGATGAAGCCAGAAATCTGAGAGGTGAATTCTAACTCAATGTAAAGTAGCTAGAGGAGTACAATTCTTTCTAGAAATGAAGTAAATCAAACTATTTGTAGCTGCAAAGAACGGCAGTATATACAAAATGGTTCACAACAATGTAAGAAAATCAAGACTTTTGCTCTTAGTACATGCAAGTGAAGTGAATAAGTCATACACACATTTTAAACCAATTTACTGTGTCAGTTTTGTGCTCAACATGTTGAAAACATTACAATACCAAACATTAAATTACAGTCCAGAGCATTAACATTGTAAAGATTCACAACTGAAGTGGAAACAGGAATGTCGACGCATGTAGAAAACCTCTTGGCATGTTGTTTTCTTTATTAATTGTTAGCAACAGTATTGGAATTTATATTCAGTCAACACTGAAAATCAAAGGCAATTCAACAAAAACTCTGTCGCATGTTTCAATTCCATGAAAAATAAGTTATTATACAACATATCCGTACGAAACAATGTACAAGGTTTGTGCAAAAATGCACAGCAAAAATAATATCCGGAAATAATGAGTCACCAGTCCATCAGATGCAAAAAACGCTGGGTGAATGCTGGAATGTAGAGTGGCATTTACTATGATCGGCACATCGCCAACCCAGGCATGACTAAAGCGCAATCCACCGATGGTTGTGATATTGTTGAAGGTGGCACACAAGAACAGACGGAAACAAGCAGGAAACCATGAGGTAGGCATGTCTGCAGAAAGGTGGTACCAAATTAACAGCGTGGCACAGAACTATTAAGGGCTGAATTAAAAGTAGTTTTCGGACGACATGTTTGGATTTCAACCTGACTTGAACAGTAGAATGGCAACTTGGCCCAGGTAGAAGTAGATGAAGTGCTTAGTCTCGTGCGTCACGTAGCTGCCAAAGTTCCTCCCAACAATGCAATGCCACGTGGGGTTGTACTTCTTGTCAAACTCCTTCGGGGGGGGAGAATAATAATTATAATTAGTAGCAGATCAAAAGGCCCTTCACAACCAGTTGAACACGTCACACCTTTGAACTACTCATCCAATATACCTTTTTGACATACGCAGCGATATCTTTTTCAATGTTGTACTTTTCCATAGCCTGCATGGCACAGTCCACTGCGTCCTGCTGCATTTCATCAGACATGTCTGCATTCTTTATCACGGCCTTCTTCTCAGTCATTTTGGCTGTTTGACTACAGGGGAGAAAAAACAAAATCAAAAAAGGACATTTCCCAGCGTGTTCCAGTGCAAACAGGGAGCCTTGCCTTTTCAATTCGATATCAACTGCAAACAAGTCACTATACCTAGTCAGGAGTCTACATATCTGCATTTGACAATTTTATAATAATTCAGAGTTGGTTGAGAATGGTACCGATCCAGCAAACCTAATTGACTTGAGGCCGCATTAAGGTGGATTATTAAAGAATTTGAATAACTTAAGTCAAAAGACCTTGAATCCCCATCAATAGTAGGCTACACATTAAGTTCTGTTGTGGATAAAGACAAACTATGTAAGGAGTCTTGAGAGACAGTGTGTCAATATTGTTATCTGACACACAATGTGTCAATTTTGGGTCACAAAGAAGGATGCTGGCATGATTGTAACATACATATCTGCACCTGCACAGCTTTGATTTGTTATTAGTTAAGCAACACAAAACGATTTGCGCAGTCAACCAAAATTCAGTTAAAACTTCAACAACAATAATAATAATAATAATAATAATAATATTATTATTAAGGAGCATTTATACAGCTTTGCAGGACAAACACAAGAGGCTCGGGGCAAGATTAGCCTGCCAGCAAAGGACGCATCAGTATTCCCTTTCACCTCCTCACCATGCACAATAGGTTTCATCAATCAACATAACATATACGCTGTTACACGCGAAGTTAACACTTACCGTCTCTCAAGGAAGTTAAATTGTCGGGAGTCGTATTTTACGGGCGGCTGCACAGTTTGTCGTTCATTTATCCAGAGAAAGCGTGCGTCTTTCACTCCTCCCTCCACACCACATCCGACACGTGATTGGCTGGAGAGAAGCCTCCACCCTGTTGACGGCGTTTTTCACTCGCGGACACTGCCTGCATCTTATTTCCCCCCAGAATGCACCGGTTTCAGCCTCGTCCCCTCCCTTCCTTCCCGTAGTCTATTGTCGTGGTCAAAAAGGTCCCCAAATTACCTCCTGACGACTATTTCTAAACACTTCTCCTTGACCTCAATGGAAAACGACACGGGGGAAAAGGAAAGATATGAATGAGTGTTAAAGAGGGTTAAGGAAAAGAAACCCAGAAAGAGAATGGAGACCACGCTTTCACGAACATGCGTAGATATCACGCGACGGCGGATGTCACTGACGTAAGGCTGCTGTGAGGGAAGCGACCCCTGCATGATCTTAAATGCGGGGTATTTCATTCCTGCTGTTTTCACGCTTAACGATCAACGTTGCCTTCACTATAAACAATCGTGAATTATTAATGAACTTTTCGATATAAATATGTATTTGTGCAATACTGTAGTTTTTAACGCTTCGGGGGTATTTTAATAATGTATAAAGGCCTAGCTTTTTTGCTGTTGAGCTTTATTATAGTAAATGATAATTTGTTAGCTGACAGCTATTCTTTCTGTTCATTAGTTATTCTAATAAATTAGTTATGTTAAAGGTAAATAAAAGATAAAACAAAAACAATTGTCATTGTTAATATTCCTCATCATGAATTCCATTAGTTTAGGACTATATGAATATAACAGTTGAACCTGTGTAAGAAGCATAGCGTTGGTTTCCATTGATAGCCGAATGAAGAGCCACTTTAAATAGTGCCAACGCAAGGATTTGTGGGGTGGGGTTATGTTGCATCCTCCGGCAAAGGCTGCTGCAGGGCATCCTACGCTGAAAGAGATAAGAAAGGAAGCATCGAAGCAGCTTTCCTTTGCAGAAAAGAGCTCTCATCGTCGCGGCCATTTAGATGCATCCGGGTACTTTCCGTCCGAAGCCTCTGTTCCATTTATGAAGCGATGATCAGGTTGATCTTATGTTGATCTTGTAGAATATGCACACTGGTAGTTGTAAATACACAGCAGTGAGCATTTCACAAAAAATAAGACATCAATTCTTTCTCACGGTGTGGTAAGATGGTGCCTCTCGTGTAAATTGCAATAACACATTTGATTTTGAAATATTTCTATTACCCCCTCTATCCTCTATAGATGATGGTAATGTAGCTCTTTAAAAAAGCAAACTGTCATTATTCACGCTTTAATGAAAACTTAGTTAACCTCTGAAAACAGATTTGAACACAGAATGGAGCTCCCTATGAGCTTTATAATTAAGAGGTAGTAATGGGATCATTGGCATAACTGGTTTATAGTTTAACCCAATCTAGTCAGTTATGAGTCTGAAGCAGTTTTCACTTTTCATCTCAGCTTTAATTTTGAGTTCTTTGTTTCAATGGAACACACAGTACAGAACAGATGCCAATTAATTTCAGTGAATAGATTGCTTTAGCTCGCTAATGATAATCTATTTAGTTTTTCTTAAGTCTAAATGATGGACTGCAACTCACAGTACTCCTCGACTCATCTGTGAATGCGTCTGAGGTCTGACACAAAACAAATTTAGCTAAAACATTCTAGTTTTGGTCTTGATGGGGGGGGGGGGGGGGGAAATATAAAATAATGGGACAGGGATTGTAAAATGCTTCCACGCTTGACCATTATCTCATAGTTCAGAAAAATGGTACTACTACTGATTCCACATACAAAACATACGTTTATAAAAGGGCACCAGTTACAGATTAAATGAGGGCCTTTTACCAAACTACTAAACCACCTTTTAACTAACACTGAATTGAAAATACAATCAGGAATAGGGTTAATCCAAGTCATCCAAAAAGTATTTCAGATCTTTTGAGGAATTAAGACAGAAAAAAGAGACAGGGCAAACCTATGTTATTGAAATTTTTATTAAAAGAGAATAAAGCTTTAGGATCCTGGAGATTATACTTAAGAAAATCAATCAAATCATCGTCCGCAGCAAAAGACTGACCTAAGAAAAAGATACAAACCACATTACGGTCACATTCCCTTGTCGCGTCCCAGTCCTCCCTCTTCCCTCCCTATTCCGCTGTTAATGGTCGCTCACTATTTACCACTCTCCTTAAGCGTGTGGATCCATCCTGCACTTTCCAGCCCTCCTCCTGGTTTTGAGCTCTTCTTTTTTTTTATAATTTTGAAAAATAAAAATAAAATCGCTTGTCACAGTGCCGCCAGCAATTGTGTCTCTGAGGTCCCACACAAAATGGAGAAGAAAAAAAATATTTGGATTATTTGAAAGCCAATTTAGTTTGAATATTTTCCTATTTCCGGTTTGACGGGGTTATGTGGCCAGGGCCAGGGGTCAGGATCACCTCCCGGTAAAATGCTCCCATGCTCCTGATCCATGTATCCATCCTGAAGCCTAATCCTAATCCTGCTCTGATCCTGAATCCTGATCCGGCTCCGGAATGGGGGACAATGAGCCCAGTCCAAACCTTCAGAATACCAGCAGAACCAAAGAGAAGGAGGCAAGTTAGAATCACACCTTCAGAAATATACCAAAATAAAATTATCAATAAATGCATCTACGAGGAAGTTAACTCCATGGAAAAAAACAGGAAACACCCGATAGAATCATTCCCAAACTACTAATATTTACGTTGGAGACGTAAATGACCAAGACTAGCAAAAGCAAAAAAGAAAAGGTTGTGAGTCTCCAAATACAAAGTGGTATACAGAACGTGTTACTACTGAAAACATTCAACAACAGCACTATTGTCAAGCGCATGTAAAACAAAAAAAACAGCCTTATAATGCAGATTTCACAGTTGACAAGGCACAGCCATCATACCATTGGTGCCATATTTGACTCCTCCTCCTGTTTATCTTAATATGAACTGTTTCCTCTGTTCCCATCCTATCCTGTTCCTCTGAACTCTACAGAGAGACACACAAGAAGGTCAAAGGACAGTAGTATATGCTTTAAAAGAAGTTCAATCTTCAAAAAAGCGTACAAGGACAAGCAGAAGAAAAGCAGAGGCAGGAGTGACAGATCAGAAAACTGATGGTGAAAAAAAAAAAAAGGAAAAGGAAGAATGGGTCCGCGGACAAAAATTATATCTAAACAAGAAAACGGCAACAAAAAAGTGTGCGTGTGAGAGTGAGAGGGAGGAGAGTGGGTAAAGGGGAATACACAAGAAGACAGTGTAAACGGGTATCATGAGATGATCCGTGGTGAGTATACAGGATTTGTTGAGTGATGTGAAGATTTCCCCTCCGGCTCCGAGTCACACCACCGCCCCGGCTGTGGTGGCTTTAGGTGCGGGAGCGGGAGCGGCGAGGAGAGTAGCGTGGGGACCCTCTGCTGCGACGTGACCCACTCTTGCTTTGGCTCGGGCTTCGGCTACGACTACGGCTGCGACTTCGGCTACGAGAGCGAGAACGACCGTAGCTCGGGCTGCGGGGGCCGTCCACCTTCACATGAATGTAGGCGGTCTCTCCCTAAACACACACAACCACACGCACAGCTGAGCGTCAATCATGTGTACGTTGCTATAACCCGATTGGACACCATCTTAAAGAACCGACTAAACATCTGGTTTACAAAAGAAATTTAATATTCAAAAATACGTTATTATATTTTGCCAAATATATTAAATAAGACAGGCATTGACGGATAGGAACAGATGAAAGGCACAGAATTATACTGCAAAGCAACATTGAATAATCATTCCAGCATAAAACTGGCATTTACTTACTGCCCAGTCATCTCCACCTTCCCTCCTGCTTTCTTCATTTGAGAAAAAATGTGATATCCAAAACGGAGTCCCACAGGGATTCCTTATTAAGTTAGCTTGAGGCTGCAACCCCATACGTACCTCATGAGAACGAAACTTGGTGTTATCCAACTGACGGACAGCGTAGGACATGTCTTCTTTGCGTACAAACTCAACTACCCCGGTGCCATCGCGGTACACATCCGCATAACATACATCACCTGCCTCGCGCATGTGATCCTTTAGGTCCTGCCAGCTTCCACTGGATGGAAGACCTGGGGAGGGGGGAAAGGGAGAGATGTGAGACTAAATTTACATCTTCCGCCGCCAACTAAAGACACCTTCTCAGGCTCTACCTTGACTAAAAACGCCAACAAATAGGAGCACTTAAATTGTACTTATAATGGCTCTTATCTATAGCAAGTTATAAATCGGATTATTTGATGAAATTGCACAAACGTGGAAAATGACAACACTTCACGCACCTGACACAAGAACCCTGTACTCTGATCGTCGAGAGGGGGGGCCATGCCTTCCCCTTTGGGGTCCCATGGGTCCACCACCCCCGCCTCCTCCGCCGCCGCCTCCTCCTCCGCCTCCTCCCCCTCGTCCACTTCTAGGAAACTCAACACGCAAGCGGTAGCCATCGTAGTCATAGCCATCACGTCCGTAGACTGCATCCTCAGAATCCCTGGGAAACAAGTTAAAAAGAAAAAAATCACCTAAATGCAAAACACAAGAGGAGCGGAATATTGCATGCATAAATAAAAAAGCTCAGTATGCGCACAGGCACTTTATAAAGCAAATGGCCCCACAAAATACTCCCTCCAAAATGATCACGTAGTGTAAATCATTAACGTTACCGCCGTGAAGCGGTTTTTACGTTTCAACCTCCATGCAGGAAGGATTTATTGCAAATTAATTGCCTACCGATTAATGTTTTCTAAATCCACCAGTTAAAAAAAAGCACGTGTAAACGGACTAGCGGTTTAGCGCCGGGACGTGGCGGGAGAATGTAATTAGCTCACCTCGGGTCCTCGAACTGCACGAAGGCGAACGGTGGTCCTCCTCTTCGGTTTTTCAGATCGATGTCGCGAATAGCTCCATATTTGTAAAACAAATCTTCGACGTCCTTTGAGCGGATATCGGGGGGAAGATTCCCCACGTATATGCGACAATCGTTGCTCCCTGCTGGTCCTCGAACTACACCTCCGCCAGACATATTAGCGCAGAAATAGCTAGCTAACAATAACAGTTAGCTAAGGAAGTTAGCAAACTGGCGAAGCCGATCGCCTCGGGTCGAACAAACGAAAGGGTGGTGGTTGGATAGATAACGGAATGCAATATATAGTGAGTAAATTAGCTAATAACCATGCAGCTAACGGTACAGCTGGAAAACCCGGGAGTGGATCTAACAATAATCAAATTAACACGAGCTAAAACTTGGAGCCGCGAGCCCTAGCCTTCCTCCAACAAAGCGCCCCTCTTCTTCTGTGGTATAACGGAGCAGAACCTGCTTTAAATGTGCG